AAAAAAATACAAAGATCTGCTCCGCTCTTTCTGTGACCAGCTATCCACCCTGGGAACACGGACTGCTGACCTTGAAATCCCGCCACATGCCCTAGCTGGGTAGTTCAGTTTGTTCCATCATCGTCTAGACGTGCCAGGTTTGCAGGTTCAATCCTCGGTCAGAGAGCATGCAGGAGTTAAATGGTGAGTGCATGGATGAATGGTACAACAAATCGCTGTTTCTCTCTATTCTCTCTCTCGGATCAATTTAAAAAACCCTCTAACACACCAACGTGCAGCGAGGGGCAAAGCTAAAACAGCACAAAGCTCTCCTACCATGCTTATGTTTCTTTTTTCTTGATTCAGCATTCATTTGGTTGCTTTAAAGTTTTGACTGTTTTCCAGAGTTACAACAAAGCTGATTCTGAAAGTTTTCATTTTTTCAGTGTTTCTGTCGAGGAATGGGCCTTCCAAGCTGTTTACTCTGCCATTTTCTGTCTTGGCTATTTTTGGCTCTTCACATTTCTATGTAAATTTTATTTTTTTAAAAGATGTTATTTGTTCATTTTTAGAGAAAAGGGAAGGCAGGGAGAGAGGGAAAGAAACATCAATGCGTGGTTGTCTCACGCGCACCCCCTACTGGGGACCTGGCCTGAAACCCAGGCATGTGCCCTGACTGGGAATCCAGCCGGCGACCCTCAACGCACTGAGCCACACAAGCCAGGGCTGTATCCTTAAATTTAGGATACACCTTTTGTAGTTTTCAGTGTATGTCTTGTGCATCTCCTGTTACATTTATTCCTAATACTATCTTTATCTGAATTAAATTTTGACAGAACTACTTAGCTGGTCACCATCAGAAAAATCCATTTTCCTTTCTCCTGATAAACTGTTGGAACTTCAGTATAATATGTATAATACTGCTGCAAAATGGGAATGCTGGTATTTTTGTATTTATTTTGTATATTACCAAAACACTGGTATTTCATAAATGTATGAGAATAGTCATAGTTACCTACATGTTATCTTCAGATGTTTTTACACAAGAAAAAGAGCCAGGAACCAGGATTAAGGGGTTTTTTGTAATTCTGGCTTGAATCTTTCCAAACAGAGTGATTAAGGAAGCAAATCAGGATTGTGAGAACAAATTTGACATTCAAAGGGGAAAAAGAAAGGAAAGAGGAGGAACTCTAACATGGAAGAAGAATAGTAGTTGGGTTTTCAGGGGTCCTGGAATTGGTCCTAGAAACTTGCCTCCTGTTTTTTCCTTTTCTTCTCTAATTTTTCTACTATGCTCTCCTGTTTCCCTAAGGTTTCTCCACCTCAATTCTAAGGAGATACTTATAGGAGACCTTTGGAATTAGATGGAGTCCCAAGTTGATTCTAAGGCAAATACAAATGCCTGATAAATTTAAAATGTTCAGATGTTTGTAAATTTCATGTATATTTTACTACAACTCAAAATTAAAACAAATGCTAATGCCTCAGCTCCAACCCTATATATGGCATATCCTCACTGTCATTTTGCATTCGATCATTGCCCTGAAAATGTGAGTACAGCTGGATAGAATGTGACTTATGGCGGAAACATTGAAACTTGGGAATTGGTAATCAAAACGAGATGCCTTGGAAGAATTTAAAAACAAGAAGAGAGAAAAGAGTGGTGAGAATGTTTTTAAAGTAGTGCTTTTTTGTTCATTTAGAAATTTTTAAGCACCATGTAACTCTTTGGTGATGAGTCAGGATGTAAATGACTATGACTTCAGATTTTTGTTTAAAGTAATGAAATGATATTATAATAATATTTTGGCATTTCAGTACTTACAAAAAAACCTAACTTGTGAACTACCCTTTCAAATTTCAATTCCTGTCATGAAAGCCTCTCCCTTTTCCTTCCACCCCAATCCAAATAAGTGATTAGACCCTTGTCTGTGCCCACAATGTATTTTTTTCCCACTAGTGGGAAGAATTGCATTTGTTTACATGTTTGTTTCCACCACAACACAGTAAGCCACTTGAGAGGAAAGACCTTTTTCTTTATTTAGTCAAGTTTTACTGAGCATGTACTACGCAGGCTTTTTAGAAAATGACCACACAGAAATGAGTAAGACATATCCTTGTTTCCAAGGAGCTTCTACTGGAGGGGAGGGACAGGGCAATTAGAATAACAGATCAGCAGGCACCAAAGACATGGAGGCTATAGAACCCGAACTGGGAGTTCAGGAAAGCTTCCCAGAAATAAGACAGTGAGAAAACATTTCGTTTATTTTATCTGAATATCATAAAAAGAACTTAAGACCCAAAGTTCTCTAGCTTCAACTGCTGGCCACACAGACAGGGCCAGGCATTATAAACTGCAAGGCCCAGACAAAATGGATCATTGCTAAGTCTGGTTATTGGGTGGAGCCAACACATCTTAACGAGTTTTGTTCCCAGCTGGAAGTCATTATTTACAAAGCACTCATTGGGACATACTGATCAGCACTAATTCTGCAAGCAGGGTTTATCCTAATGTCATTAAACTGTCTCCCATAAAAGCATGAAGACCATGTTTCAATGTTTCCGCCATAAGTCATATTCTATCCAGCTGTACTCACATTTTTCAGGGCAATGATCGAACGCAAAATGACAGTGAGGATATGCCAATATAGGTTTGGAGCTGAGGTATTAGCATTTGTTTTAATTTTGAGTTGTAGTAAAATATACATGAAATTTATAAACTTTACAATTTTTAAAATATTTTATTTTTAGAGAGAGGGGAAGGGAGGGAGAAAGAGAGGGAAACATCGATGTGTGGTTGCCTCTCACATGTCCACTACTGGGGACTCAGCCCACAACCCAGGCATGTGCCCTGACTGGGAATCAAACTGGCAACCCTTTGGTTTGCAGGCTGGCACTCAATCCACTGAGCCACACCAGCCAGGGCAACAATTTTGTAAATGTACATGTAAGTAGCATTAAGGTCATTCACAGTGTTGTGCAACAAACCTCCAAAATTCTTGTCACCTTGCAAAACTTAAACTTTATATCCATTAAACAATAACTATTACCCCTTCCCCCAAACCCCTGGCAGCCACCACTCTACAGTATTTTCTGTCTCTATGCATTCGAGTACTGTAGGTACCTAATGTAAGTGGCATCACACAGTATTTTTTGTGACTGCCTTACTTAACTTAGCATAATGCTCTAACAAGGTTTACCTGTATTGTGTCAGAATGTCCATGCTTTTTAAGGCTGAATAATATTCTATTGTATGTATACATCTTTTATTTTCCTACTCACCCATCCATGAACATGTGGCTGCTTCTACTTTTTGGCTATTGGGAATAATGGTGCTATAAACGTAGGTGTACAAATACCTCATTGAGATTCTGCTTTTAATCTTTTTGGATATGTATCCAGAAATGGGATTGTTGGATCATACGGTACTTCTTTTTAATTTGAGGAACTTCCATACTGTTTTCCATAGTGGCTGCACCATTTTAGATTCCCCTCACCCAACAGTGCAAAAGGGTTCCAATTTCTCTGCGTTCTTACCAGCACTTATTTTATGGTTTAATTTTTCTTGATAGTAGCCATCCTAAACGGGTGTGAGGTGCTATCTCGTGGTTTTGATTTGCATTTCTCTTTTATGACTGACAGTCAGTGGTATTTTTCCCCCTAACTACACCCAGGAAAAGTTGAGAACACAGAGTGAAACAGATGTAAGACACAAGATTCTGAAGAGTAGTCTCTTGGCTATTGTTCTCGCCTCCGTTCTGAATAAAAGCCTTTCTGGGAAGCCATACCAGGAACTCCTCCCTTCTTCGGAAACCTGCATCAGCCCCTGTGGGAAAAGCCTCTCTCCTTAGGACCCTCCTCCCAGAAATCTATAGGTCAGGAAGAAACCAAGGTCGATTAACAATGGTTTTCATGTCTCCAGGGAGTATTAATTTACATCTCCAAAAGAAACCCAATCCAGAGGGAATTTGCAGTAAATGGGAAACCTGTAGGCATTTCCTTGGAATAACTTTCAGTAAATCGTTTCCCTCTCCCGGGCATGTTTTCTTTAGCAGTCAAATGAAGGGGCTGATTAAAGGGTGTCAAGGTCCTTTTGGCTTCAACTGTTCATGGTATTAGCATACTATTAGAGGTGTTGATCTCATCCTTGCTTACAATTGGGCGGAACCCACTTAAATCAAGATGTGATAGTAACATTGGTTTCGAGTGTATCCTTTCTCAAACATTTCAATACATATTAAACAATTTGCAGTTTGTCTCCACAAGCTTTTCACAATTTCCTCATGAATCTGATTAGGAAACATCCTACATTTCAATCGACTGAACACCAAACCTGAAAATCACAAATTATATCTATTCAAAATTTAAATACCTTTCCTATTTTGCATCATAAAGCAGTAGTGGCAGAAGGAACACTGACTGAGGTGATAGATGATTTAGTCCCCTGCACTCCTATTAGAATAAAGTAGGTCCAGAGAGGTTCATGGGACTTACCTATGGTCACATACCTACACAGAAACAGAGTAAGGACTAAAAGCGATATAAAAGCCAGATGTCTTTACTTGCTATCCAGTGTTTCTACTCCGTGTTTGCAAATGTATTGTTGTCCAGTCTCATATAACTTGATAATCTGTCTGGCTGTTTCAAATCAATTATTTAGTACCAAAAGGGAATTATCTACTCATGGTGTTCACTGACTGGGACAAAAGCGAGTTCAACCGATACATCTGCTTGGCTGTTTTGGCTAATCTAATGGATGACAACACTCATGAAAGATGATGTATGGAATCCTGGAAGAATGCATCTCACCTCAGAAATACGGAAGGAAACTGGCTTACCAAATTCACTGTCATTAGGATAGTAAGAAATTTAACTGCAATTTCACAATGGAATATGCTAACGTTACAAATACTAGTTTAGTGTTTTTAAATTCACCCCTCTTTAGACATTAATTAAAAAACTCAGCATTTAGATTGTAAAAGTTTATTGATATGGTCAAAAAGCAAACAAACGGCCAGACATTTGGTTATCTTTGCCACTACAATGTGTCATTTTTAATAGTATTTTAACAATGCATAACAAATAATATTTAAACCATTACTAGAAAAGTAAAGTAAGAGTCTACTTAAGGCACTTCAGATGAAAGCGAATTTCAAAATTTTCACAAAGGCAATGCTAACACGATTCTAAGTGTAGTAAATCTGCCTTCTACAGATCTTAGCCAGAATGCAACTTTTCTCATTACAGAAAAAGACTGTGCTCTTACGGGAGATAAAACAAATGTAAAAAATGGTCATTCTTTCAATGCTCATGGCAAATTGTCTGGAGCTAATACAGATTACATGGCAGTAGTATGCCCCTGGTCAGTCTGCACAAATCAGGGCATCTTCATACAAGTCTCATAAGAATCACAGCATGTTTATTTGGCCTGAGACAAGTACAAGAACAGCAGATAAGGAATCCAGAATCACACAATTCACAGGGGAGTAATTAACAAAAAGTGGCTCCACTAAAGAGTAAAAGTTAGACTATATCCCTCCACCCACCAAATCTACTAACAAAAAACACATCAAAAAAACTTTTAAAACATTTCTTTTTGACACTTATATCCATCTTTTTCTGCAAACTCTATTGTATAGGACTTCTAGATCACATGGAAGATTTATTAGATAGTAAATAGTAGCAGACAGTCACAGTATTATTTTAATTCAATACTTCTAAGATTTAATTTTTTTTCATGATCATAATTCTTGTATTTCCATAATAGTGGCATTTCGGTATACTCTTCATCACTATGGGGAGGTTATAGCTAGATCTAATGATAACCATCATGTTTCATTCTTCACAGAAATTAGGTTAGCATATATGGTTATTTCCACTGACACAAAGAGAGACAGAATTCAAAACAATAGATCTTTAAATGTTTAGTTTGTATCACCACTTAAAGTGGAGAATAAAGGCTAAAATAATAGCAAGCAAAGAACAGCTTTCAAAAAACACTGACTTCCTATTCACAGGCAACCATTCAATATTCCACGACTTCCTTTTCCTCATCTTGGGGAGTACTTTTCCTAAACGCAAGGATTATTGAAATATGTTTAACTGCAATACAGAGACCAAATTAACCAGATGAACCTATTTTTCTCCTCTTAGGTACAAATGAAAGAAGTGACTATCTCTAATTTGCAGAAACATTTTAGACCATTTTTAAGTCACACTGATTTTTAGCACTAAACTACATTTTGATTATAGAGTGTCCTGCCTTAAATAAAACCATGGAGACAGAACGCACCTGACATCTTTCCAAATACAACGTCGTTACTTCCATATTCATGCAGAAATCATAATCCTGTATTGAGAGATGCTTTTTAACATCTACAGCTACCAAGAAGCATAGAGAGCCAGCGCTGTATTTCAGTAGGAAAGATGGAGGAGGAGGACACGCTAGTCTTTTTTTGTCTAAAGGCTAGACACGTTCTCTGAAGAATGGTGTTCTATTCTCAGAAGACCACAAAGCGTATATGATTTCCCAAAAGGAAGAATGTGCAAAAGTATACACATCCATGCAAAAATGGAAAAGCTAAGAATGGATTCCTGATGTAGTACTTATCTGTAACAGGTGTAGGTATATGCAGGAACACCTGGTTAGGACTCCCCCCCACCCCACCCCGTACCCACCTTTGGATAAAATAAAATCATATGGCCAAAAGTTAACTGAAGCAGTTTTGAACCTTGTTCTCATTAAAATGGAGTAGTAGTTTAAAAATTTTTATGTTGTTCTTAATACTACTGAATTAAATGTTCCATAGTGTTTACTGGGAAGGGAAGGTAAAGAAAAAAATTGTATCCAAATACTTCATGATTTTGACAGGAAATTGCTGTTAAGGCACTACACATCTTCTTTGGTTAAATGATTAACTATTTAAATCACTTGAAAAAAAGAGGTAATACAAAATACACAAATTGCGTTCTTCTTTTCACACACGCCCTTTTTTCATTTTTCAATTTCCAGTACTCCAGTGTCTGCATATCGCTGGGATCCTTTTTAGCTCATCAGAAAGCTGAAACGAAAATATATACCAAGCTATTAGTCTTTGAAAAAAGGTAGGCTTTATTTTTAATAAATACCTTGACTTTGACAGAGTAAAGAGTGTTTCAGTGCATGTATTGGGTTGGTCAAAAAGCTTGTTTGTTTGTTTTTTTCTGTAAGATGGCTCTAGTAGCACTTAGTAAGTCTTTAACTTCATTTGAAATAGTTCTGTTAGTTTGTATTGTGACAGCTGTTGTACCAGTGCATTAAAAAAAAAACACCAAAATTGGTGAATTTTTGTGTAGCCATTTTAATATTGAAAAAGGAAGAAAATACACATTTTCGGTGTATTATACTTTATTACTTCAAGAAAGGTAAAAATGCAACTGAGATGCAAAAAAAGATTTTTGCAGAGTAAAGGCAAAGTGCTATGACTGACTGACTGTGTGGAAAGTGGTTTGTGTAGTTTCGTGCTGGAGATTGTGCTGGAGATTTCTCCCCGGACGATGCTTCACGGTCGGGGGAAGACCCTTTGAACTTGATAGCAATCAATTACAGATATTAACTGAGAACAATCAACATTATACCAAGCAGGAGATAGCTGACATACTCAAAATATCCAAATCAATAAAATTATGGTGAAAATGAAACATGTGTCTTTTATTTTACAGAAAAAAATCTGAATGGACTTTTGGGCCAACCCAATATAACGAACTTTGAGTATTGATGACAAAAAGTGAGAAACCCTGACATACTGAGATAGTCTTAGGAGAAAAGGAAACAGACAAAATGTCAAGTTAAAATATCTCCTGAAAGTAGACAACAATTAATAACTGAATTAACCGTAATGATCAAATAAGTAACAGAAGTCCCAGCAAAATTTACCATGCATCCCGGTTAATGTTCTACAGAGGTTAAAGTATTTTAAAATATACTTACAAAGAACACTAAGAGTATATACAACATTTGTAAGTAAAAAAATCAAAGTATTAGTAGGTTTTAGTCTTAAATAAGTTTGCAAGAAAAAATGCAAGATTATGTTGTTCACTGATCAAAAGGCATCTAGGAGTGTCACAATGTAATGACCAACCAGGAAGTTGTTCAAAATTATCTACTAAAACATGAAGAATGAATTTATGTTTAAAAAATATCACTTAATTTACTTTACCTTTGGTGTTCATAATCCTTTATACAACACAACAATGGTGTATTAAAAGAATAGAAATTATAGTACTTGGTACTCAGGTTATACAACTAAACTTAATCACAATAATCCCAATTATGAGGGGGGAATCCTCCCAAAAAGCCCGGGGATTATTTATAAAAAATTGTGTATTTATTCTTACATGTTTAAACTTCAGTCACCTTCAAAGTCCTCTCCATTTAATGCAATACACCTACTGAGACTTTTTCCCATTGCTCAAAAATAGTTTCTGAACTCTTTAATTTTGATGCCTTTTAGTGCTACTGCTGTTTTTTGTTTCATCTCTTCCACATGGTCAAAACATTTCCCTTTGAGGGTTTTCTTCATGGGGGAACCAAAAACGAAAAGTCACTTGGGGCAATCGGGTGAATAGGGAGGGGAGGGCATAGGAGCTATGTGGTTTCTTTGGTCAAAAACTGCCGAACGCTCAGCACGGTGTGGGCAGGTGTGCTGGTGAATCACCCATGATGAAATGGGCAAAGGCACTGAGAGTCTTCAAGAAAATTCACTGAAGCTGAAAGCAGCCTCTCACACCACCACCAGCTGGTCCACGGATACAGATGAGACTCACCCCGTGGGGAAGCCTGTAGTACAAGGGACCCACCCTCCAGAGAATACTTCTGAGGGTTTTTTTTTGGGTCCCCAGTCCTATGTAGGTACATGTCTCTTAGATATTAACAAAGTAAAATCAAGAATTCACTACCAGGAGAGTAATTTCTTCCCTGAGGCTTAGAGATTTCTATGATGTTTCAAGGTGTTCTTAAACACTCTTTCGTAAGTTCTCTACAAAATGGGTTTTAATTAAATGTTCTGTTTATGGTATCTAAAATGCCCTGAAAAGTAGAAGTGAGAAGTCTTCAAAACCATTTTAAAAATAATTTTCTCCTCAAGAGGTAGTATAGCATGCAGACAAGGAACTGCGTTGGGTAGATATGGTATAAGATGTTCTATACATTGTTTTATACATTTCTAGCTTAAGTCAGCTGATGTTAGAATAACCCTGAAAGATGTTCCTGAGGAGAAATCACAAACTACTGTCTGTGATTTAAGATATCATAAATATCTTAAATTAATTTTTTAAAGCAACATACCTAAATTAAATTAAAGACTATCTGTTTTAGAAGTTAGAATAGTCTGGAGGTAAAGTAGAAGGAAAAAAACCGAAAATATTATAAAGCAACATAAACTCTAATCTTTGTAAGTATAGGTAATCGCTATATAAATGAACAGTAATCATACCTATATGGATATCCATGATATTTAGATCTGAAAATAGAGAGCAACCAACTGAAGAATAATACAACAAGTCCAATACCAGCCACACACATTACTGCAGAAAAACAAAAGCAGAATAAAATGAGCATGTTCAGTGTTATGAAGAACCAGAGCATAAATTTCAGCCTACAGCGCAGAGTGAAAAACAAGAGCTATAACTTATGTGTTAACTTCAACTTCTTAACACTTTCCACCCCCATTCTTTAATCTGCTCGATTCTGCCTTCCCCTTTAGCATGTTCTATTATGACAGAGTAGCTTCATTTACATAGCTGTGCAATTTAATTGTATGAACTAATGAATTTCTTTAAAGACAGTTGAGAATTGTGTTAAAACATTTTACCACTGTCAAGAAAAACCACTTATTAAACTCCTTTTAAACCCTTAAAAGTGGCCTTATTGCATTATTGATAAATATTCACTTAGAGACATCTAATAATGTGAGTCTCCCCTGAAAGTCCTTTATCCACGCACAGGTAGCTACCCGGCCTGTGTGAGGAACTCATTCAACGTGAAGACCTCGTTTTAAATGAGGGGGAAAACCCCTGATTTCTTGCCCCTAATTCCTAGCTCTCTCCATTAATCTCATATGCTCTGGTTTAGCACAGCAGTTAATAACCTTAACTCTAGATACTGACCCCACAATGCTCAAGTATGACTCCCATATATACATGGAGACTCTGAGCCCCCAGATAAGACTGGCTAAGAAACATAAAGGTAGGGATGTGAGAAGCATGTGTGCTACAGCAATGCAAGCTCTCGGGAAATATATTTATTGGCCAATGCAAAAAACAAATTTTAGTTTTCTTACATTGAGGGAACAATTTTTTTTCCTTTTTTAATTTTCAAACGTGATTAGTGGCTAAAATGTAAAAGTTAAACATCCTTTCCTGAGTAATGATGCAGGCTCATTGTAGAAGTCTTTCTCCCCCCTAATTAAATGCGCGCGCGCGCGCACTCACACACAGTTATCACTCTGTATATGTTTTTATTCTCCTTTTTTTCATATATCAGTTCTGGGTACACAGTAAGTGCTAAAGAAATTTCTATTATTATTTATGATTATTTCATTAGGTTAGAATCTTAGAAATAGATCAAAGAGTGATTATTTTAATGCTTCCAAAATGTTTGACAATTTAAATTCATGCCAAGAGTGTAGTACCCAGATGGCTTTTCTCCCAGTAATGAATACTGAAATAGGCAATTTTTAAAAACTCAGGCAATTAGCCCTGGCCAGTGTGGCGCAGTGGACTGAGCGCTGGCCTGTGAACCAAAAGGTTACCGGTTCGATTCCCAGTCAGGGCACATGCCTGGGTTGCAGGCCAGGTCCCCAGTAGGGGGTGTGTGAGAGGCAACCACATATGGGTGTTTCTCTCCCTCTCTTGCTCCCCCCCTTTCACTCTGTCTAAAATAAATACATAAAGTCTTAAAAAAATTTAAAAACACCCCAGGCACTTAAAGGATGTATATTAACTGAATAAAAAATTGATACGTTATGTTTTCCAATGTGAAAATTCATTTTAATGTAGCAAAATAAGGATCTTCCAAATCTGAAACCCAATGTTATCGTTTTTTAATTTTTACTTTTTTAATTTTTAAAAAAGATTTTATTTATTTTTAGACAGAGGGGAAGGGAGAAAAGAGGGGAGTGAAACATCAATGTGTGGCTGCCTCTCGCGTGACCCCTACTGGGGACCTGGCCCATAACCCAGGCCTGTGTCCTGACTGGGGATCCAACCGGCAACCCTTTGGTTCATAGGCTGGCACTTAATCCACTGAGACACACCAGCCAGGGCGTTTTTTTTAGAAGAAAAAGTGAACCGACTTTATTTAGCTAGGTTAATTTGATGAAATTTTAACTTTTTAATCATAAAAGGAAAAACTCTGACTGAAACTGATGTCATGTAAGTATAATTAAAATTACACTGTTGACATTTCTTTGCAACAAATACCAATGTGTGAATATTCTAATATATGAAAAGTGAATGCAAAACAATAGGAAAAGGACTAAGACACTAATTGGTAAATGGCAGAAGATAAAAAGACCTTTTGTAGGAGGAAAATCACGACAGCTAATAAACATTTAGGAAAACATTTAACTTTATGACTTAAATATTTAGTGTAACTTAAAAAATTAGTGTAATGTAAAAATATTTAAGGTTGCACCAATAAACAAAATACAAAATAAAATAACATTTCCCCCTTATCTGACCAGGCAATTAACACACATGTACACACACTTTGCTAACAAGGTTAGCTAATGCTGATAAAGTTACAGTGAAAGCATTCATAAATATCACTAGTAGGAATCTGAATGATTAAAGATACCATTTGGGGAAAGAATTTGGCCTCATCAATGTAAAACACCAAGAAAATTGACAATACATGCAGGAACACACAGTCATTCTACTACTGGGAATCTACCTGAAGAAATTAATGTGAAAGGAGGACAAAGCTTACTATCCCATGATAGTTACTAAAGAAGACTTTATCATAATGAAAGAAAAAGCTGAATGCTTAACAAAATGAGACCGGTTAAGTAAATATGTTACAGTATAGAGCACAAATTTAAAATTATGTAAAATATTTTAGTGAATTATTTACCTCCAGGTAAAAAGGGGAAGTATAAAATTCAAAATTTTATACTAGAGGTTTAAAGATGTTTTTACAAATGGAAAGAACTAGCTTATGCCATTAATTAGTTTTTTAAATGGTGGAATAAAGGATAACTCTTTCCTCAAATGTTTTATATTCCTATCCCCCCCCATTTTCTATAATTAGGATATATTACTTTTAAAATAGTAAAGAAGTAAAATAACTTACTTATAAACAAGAACAGAAGTCATTAAGAGGACATTGTGTTTTCTCTATTAAAGGCAGAACTGTCATATGATATGACTTACTCTTTCGCTTTCCAATATCCATGTCAGATGTAGCAGCTTCACATAGAAGTACCATACCTAAGGTAACCCCACCATCTTAAAAAAATTGTTTAAGGAAAAATTCACATAGACACAAAAAGACATTCTACGTCAATATTCCTAGTCTTTTCATAAAGATTAGAATATATAAATCTACAACATTTAATTACAAAGCACTGTAAATAAGTAAACTTGCCTCTAAATAGCATAATTACTTACTATGAGGATGTGATAAAAATATCAAGGTTGAAAAATTACTTTATTTGTAAAAATCAAAGTTGACATTTTAAACAAAGGTGCCACTATAACTTACAAATGAACTATGAATGTTCATGAAATAGTACTTTGATATAACACTGTTGGACAGTCTTACAACTTTTGCTTCAACCCAGTACACTTTTTAAAATATTAAAGACATTTTGAATAATATTTCAACCACCCTCCAAAAAAGGACACACTTGAAATCTGCACCATTTAGAGAGAAGAGCAATTAATTTTTACTTGAAAAATAACTTCCCAAAAATTCTCCAGAATTTCAACAATTAGCCTTTAAAGTACAAGTCACTACCTAATTTTGTCCTAGTCTAATAAAAAAAGAAAATCCCACATGCCATGACCTCGCTGTTATTCAGCCTAATATAGAAGCTACATAAATACAAAAGAGATCTATCAAGCAAATAGGTAACACAGAGTATGGTTGAATGCTAAAATAAACAAAATGTAGTTTAAAACAAACAGAATGTGTTCTAGCAGAAAGGAGAGATTCACCCTGCAGTCTGGTTAATACAAATGGCAAGGAAAAATGCCCAAATTAATTATACATACACACATGTACACTGTATGCTTTGCATGTGGGTGTAATTAGGGAGAAAGGAAAAAAAAAAGGTGTTCAGTTAAGGCCTAAATTAAGAACTAGCTCTGTAATTTGCTAGTCATCCCTTCATTGCCACATTGCACTTTCTCTGCCACGGCCTCGTGTTAGGAGTGATGCCCATTCCTCATGTTTTTAGTTGCTTGGCCAAGTCATCTTCTCCAGAAATTATTTTTTTCTTACTGAGTTCTTTAAATCCAGGCACATGTAAAGATTGATCATTTCTATAGGCTTTGGCTACAGAGTACTCTGATTAAAGGTTGACACTTTTGTACTTCGAATGGTTTATTTCTGTATCATGGTTTACATGCTTTTTCTTTGAATGAACTTTCCATCTTGCTATACCGCCAAGGCCTCTCTGTGTTGTTCTCAGTTACACCAGGAGCTATGATGTATTTCCTTGTGTATGGCTTCCTTTCATTTATTGATTCTTTAAACTTTTACTAACACTGCATACTATATGGCAGTCAATGCCTACTATATGCTGGAGTTACAAAGATGGACAGAATATAGACCCTTCCTTGGACAAATTTATACTCTAGTAGGGGGATACAATGAAAGAAATAATAAATAATTAAATAACCACGATTAAATGTTACCCTGGGATAACGAAACAGGAAATAGAGGAGGTGGCATTTCATACCCTATGAAAAAAAACTAGGCTACTAGAAGAGCTAGTAGAATCAAAGTACGTGAATACAGGATGAAGGCAAAGATATTTGCGTAAAAGGAAACCTAATTACAAAATTGTGGGAAAATGTTTAAACTACCTTGATTATTGTCGTCCAAGGTAGATTTTAAAAATGACCTATAAATTTTTGCCTATTGAATTAGTAGTTAACAAAAATGAGAATACAGAACAATGGTGACGACTTGCCAGGGATATCAGAGCACATACACATTTCTGGCAGCAAACCTCCCTCCCCTTTTCTAGCAAAACCCTTTTGGAAAACAATTGGGACAAAACATGAGGAGCAAAAGACAGATTCACACACACTGTTTCAAATCTTACTGCTGGAAATTTGGAGATATGCCAAATTATTTTTATATCTAAGAAAACATTCTTTGCAATATTCAACAAGAGAATAACTGAATTATGATATATCCATTATACAAACATTGAGAATAACTATTTTTTTCCTTTTCCTTGCCTTACTTTCTTATTTCTCTGTAATTCTCCTCCACTTTTATTTTTTTTAATTTTATTTTTATTTATTTTTAAAGAGAGGAGAGGGGAAGGAGAAAGGGAGAGAAATATCAATGTGCAGTTGCCTCTCACGCGCCCCCTACTGGGGACCTGGCCTGCAACCCAGGCATGTGCCCTGACTGGGAATTGAACTGGTGAGCCTTTGGTTTGCAGGCTGGCACTCAATCCACTGAGCCACAGCAGCCATGGCTCTCATGCACCTTTATAACTCTGAAGGTCATACAATTCGATACAGAAAATGCTATTACATTAAGAAACTGAACTACAGGCAAAGTATGTCTTTAAATACAAAAAAGGGAACTCCTCCCTTGCCTAATCCCAAATGTACATATGAACAAAGAATGCAGGAAGGTATGCAAAAAAAAAAGAATATAGTTTAATACTAGTGTTTTAGACTATAGGTAAAAAATTTCTACATTGCTAGTTTATTTTTTATTTTTTTCCAAGTATAACTATTATTATGATTAATATCCTTATCAGACAGGTAAAAACAATCTAAAAAATCATTTCTGAGTTTAAAATCAATTTGTAGTTACACGGACTTTATCAATTATTTAGGATAGCACCTACTTTATTTTTTAGATTTAAATATATTTAATGTATGATTCCATTTATGTAAAGTTTGAAAATTGGTCAAACTCACGTGGAGGGATGCTCTGGGATGTGAGCAAAGTTTTATTTCTTCATCTGGTGCTAGTTATAGTTGTGTTCGTTTCATGAAATTTCATCAAACTGCACGCTTATGAACTCTAAACTTTTCTGTATGAATATAATCCTTCATATTAAAAAGTTTGAAATAAAATTTTAAAACTTGCTCAGTAGAGCAGGCAACTCATATAATTTGCTTTATTAATCATGCAGTACATTGTAAAATATTAAACATGATGAGCATGTGGATATTTCCCAAAATCATTATTACTTAGTAGTAGTCCCATTATATTAATTCTTATCAACATTAAAAAATTGTTAATCAAACTTTTGAGTTTTGAGTCTTTAGGCTTTGTGTCCAGTAAATAAAAGGCAGGGTTTAAGTCTTCTACAAAGTTCCCTACCGTTAAGAAAATTAAATAGCTGTATTAACTATCTCACCATTATGCCTCATACACTACTAAAGGCGCTTGCTGTCTTGTAATCTGCATACATTTGTGCGTCCCCAGTACTACAAGCTCCTCAGACAGACCATGCATTCACAGTGTCTAGCAAAATAATTGCCCAGGAAACATAACCTTCTCCATCAACCACTACAACTAATGCAAAACCAAATTAGAGAAAAAAAATATCACCATGAAAAAAAATCCTATTTTGTATCCTATTAACCAAGTTTATAAGAAACTCTATATTCCAACAGGCTTACAATCTTGTTCCAAATGTACGTGAGACCTTAAGATGTTTAACCTTTAGGCAGAAAGAAAAAGTAAGAAAATTCCAATTTCTTAAACTTACATAATATATTAAAAAAATTTAGGACAAAGCTTAAAAACCAACAGACTGAAAATCAATTAAATAACATGTTACAATTTTAGCTGCCCTTCTGCTCCATTGTTCAATTTCAAAGTACAATTAATTGAGATTACTTTCAGATACTGAAAAATTTCCCAGGTATAATAATTGGTCAATCCACCAAACCATAACCATTTTCAACTTAAATTATGACATAATTTTTAAAAAGTCAGACACAGAAAGACAACAACTGCCATATGATCTCTCTAATTGTGGAATCTAAATATATATCTAACCAATATATAACCAAGCTTTCAGATACAGAGAACGGATTGGCACTTGCCCAAAGCAAGTGGTGGGAAGTAGGAGAAATAGATGAACTGTGTTTTGTTTTTTACTTTAAATAAATTAAATAAAAATAAGTAAATTTTAAAATTTGGAAAAAAAACATAGGTTAATATTTTTCTTTCAATCTTCTTTCTCAGCATAGGGACGAGTTACCTACTAATCTTTTCAGCTCACCAGCCCATGGCTAAAAAGATTAAATCCCCTGACTCCAGGCTGAGTTTTTTTAAAAGATTTTATTTATTTACTTTTAGAGAGAGGGGAAGGGAAGGAGAAAAAGAGGGAGATGAACATAGACAGGCCGCCCCTCTCAGGCCCCCTACTGGGGACCTGGCCTGCAACCCAGGCCTGTGCCCTGACGAGGAATCAAACTGACAACCTTTTGGTTTGAGAGATGACACCCTGACTACTGAGCCACACCAGTCAGGGCCAGGTTGAATTTTAAGCAGTAAATTTATTTTTCCATATAAAATTATTGCTTTAAGAAAATGTCATTTTCTCAAATGGTGCCCCTCAATTAAAACCAAAAGCTTGATTTTTTTTTCCCAGAATGCTTCTCTTAAAATATCTCCATTAAATCACTGACGTACTAAAATAAAATGGGGAAAGATATGCAGGGGTGAGCATACGTAGGTTTTCAGTTGTTCATAATAAATAATACAATAAATAAATAATACAAGAATAAATGGTTTTGTATACTCACAGCTGTAAATCTACTTTTGCTCATGCTTGAACACAAATATTTACTAAGGGTGGTATTTCCAAGGGTTTTGATTTCTTCCTTTATTCTTTTTTTTTTAAAGATTTTATTTATTTTTTAGAGAGAGGAGAAGAGAGGGAGGGAAACATCTGATGCACCAGAGATACACCAACCGGCCACCTCTTGTACACCCCCAACTGGGGACCTGGCCCACAACCCAGACATGCGCCCCAACCGGAAACCAAACCGGCGACCCCCTGGTTCACAGGCCAGCACTCAATCCACTGAGCCACACAGGCCGGGGCTCTTCCTTTATTCTTAATACTGTTTTCTAACTCAATGAAGAAGACTGTTCTCTAAAATCACAGACTGATTCAAATGAAACATTCCATTCTTGCCTAGAGGATCAAAGTCACTCAATTTACAAGTACAATTTCTAAGTTGCCACAGTTTACAACCAAAGCACAGAGCTTCAAACAAGGAGTTTCTGAAGGCAAAACCCCCCCATTTATCTAAACTTTGTAGTTTCCAGGAAAGAGAACCCTGTCCACTTCACAGTCCAGACCTGATGCTGATCCCCTTTATGCTTCTCCTGGTTTTGCTCTGGGCACAACAAAGCATTGCTTCATTTACATTTCACTTAAGCACTCCCCCTCCCTCAATCCTAGAACTAACTCTCTTTTGGTAAGATGTCCCTTCCTTCCCCTGATATGCAATCTGCCTTGTAGCAAGACCCAGTAAAACTGGCTTTGTGAGACTCAGGTTTGTCCCTGACGGTCTTCAGTTGATTAAGCTAGGACAGATGACACAGTAGTATAATTCCGAAGATATTACCTGCATTAATAAGAGAGTGGCCTCCACCAGATTCTATGGAGAGAATACTATAGTATGAGAAAAAAAGGCAAATTAAAACACAGCACCAAGGACTTATAAAGAGGATACTAAACAGAAGAACAATATGTGTTTCAGCTACAAACTGGGCTTGGCTGCTTCCATGGATATAATTCTGGGGGGGAAAAAAAGACAAAATTAAATGTTTAAATATACTCTGAATTTTGGTATCCTAATCCTAAAATGGGCTATTTTCAAACTCTATGAAATTATTAATTCACCTTCTGTTTGTAGGCACTCATCAGTAAATTAATTTGGCTAAAATAAAAACTGTTTCTGGGTTATTTATAGTTTCTTTCCACTGTCCTTATACTATGTTTTCAACAACAGAATATATGAGAAAACTAGTCTTTCAGTGTGTAAGACCGCGAGGTACATAATGTAAGCTCCATGAAGATAGGATCATGTTTTTCTTGTTTTTCACAGTATCTAATAATACCTAGCACAGTGCCCAGAAACAGGAGATGATGCTCAAGTCCTTGATCAAGTATTATATTTAGCTGAAGGCTGACTTTCATTCTTAGCTAGGTTATGCAAAAGGACTCATCAGCTGCAGTAGGAAACTTCCCACTTTTAAAGAGTACTGTATCTTCTTCTCAGCAACTGAAACTCGTTGAAAATCCAAAATAAAAATCTAGTTCCCTCATACGCTGGCACTGGTCTCACAGCCTAATAAGCATTAAGGTTAACTTCAATATACAATGGAAAGAAATCCTGGCTTCCCTTACCACGTGTCCTGTGTGGGGATTCTTATGAGCATACGGTGGTCCTCTTATATGATTCCACATCTGACCAGATGTCATAGCAAGCACAAAGCACTAGGAAACAAGAAATAATGTAATACTCACATAACACGGTGCAGTTGTTCCCACCTTGAATAAATCCATAGGTATAGGAAAAGTGCCTCTGCTCGAGTAGTACATGAAGGACACTTCTCTCAGATATATGCTGTCTTAATTAAGGTTTATATTTCACCACAACAATCACGAGGATAAATATTTACTTTGAAAGAAAAACACCATTTGAAAATTATACATAAGCGGATAGAAGCTTAAAATTGAATTGAAAAGCCTTTTAGAAGACTATTTCCAAAAGAACTGCAGATTTTCCAGAGATGACAGTCTATCATTTAGGTTGAACAAACACTGGAGGTCCAATCAGCTCTTCCAGGCTTTGGCCATCCTAACGAGACAGCGGAGGAAGCAAACTGAACTTAAGGCACAAAGTAATAACATAAAATCCTTTCCAAAGGTAAGAAATAAACAAAAAGCTACCTAACAATGCAGTATTAGTTTTATTCATACAATGTTCTTCTAAAACTTACTCACCAAAGCTGCAAAAGCCCATCCAGTTTTATTAAAGAGGAATTCCATATTGCTTCTTCGAAGATACACAAGTCCACCAATTACAGCTAAGAGCAATCCCAACATAAGGGGACCAGCATAATTTGGAGGTCTTATTACTCTAATCTAATGGGAAGGAGAGAAAAACATTTTAAAGTATGAGATTCACTGGTTATGTAGGTCAAAGTAATTTGAAATGAGAGCAATCAAAATCACTGTGGTTACTTTCTGGAAAAATTACATTTCTTTCTTTTCATCCTAATCAAGAATCTATAGTGTATCTTGAAATGGGATGGGATAGGTACAATAGTGTGTTTAACTGCAACATAACATCCTTTAGATTAAGAAGTATTTGCCACGTACAACTGGATAGTCCACGGCCTTAAGGTCAAGAGTGGTTTCCATGCTGAATTCAATAATAGAGGGTGTTCTGTAATTTCACTCTTTCATCAAGATGATTCTGTTAAATGCTACTTATGAAGGGACTGCCCAACTATTACCACCTCAGCGATACGTGGACAAGACCAATTAAGACCGCCCCATAGGATTCCAAGTGGATAATGGCAAAGTGACTTTCTGCAGAGGAGGGAAACTTACAGTGACATCAGTTCTGTCGGCAATCCACCGGGCAATCTGCTCAGCTGAAAAGCCACGCACCTGCAACTCATATGTATCACCCCTTTTGGGTTTCCCTTTTGCAGGAAAGTTGATGAAAGTTGGAGCTGAGTTCATGTTTAGCTGAATAAAAAGTAGTCCATGAAAATATAAGTTACCGAGAAAAAATTCTTAACAGTAAATATTACCTTGACAATTAGGCATTTTATAAAGGTGAGGAAGCCCAGGCTTACGTGGGTTCAGTGATTTGCCTAATTAAAGTGGTAAATGGTGGAGCCAGGATTCAATCCAAGGCTGCCTGTGACCTTAATTAGCGCACTTTACTGACCAAATAAAAAATTGTAGCTAAAAAAACAGTATTTCACTCCTTTAGAATGGAAAATCTCCCATACCTTCAACATTTTTAAAAAGATTTTATTTACTTATATATATTTTAAAGATTTTATTTATTTATTTTTAGAGAGAAGGGAGAAAGAGAGAAACACAGATGTGTGAGAGCTACATCTATCGGTTGCCTCTCGCACGCCCCCTACTGGGGAACGTGGCCAGCAACCCAGGCATGTGCTCTGGCTGGGAATCGAAACTGGACCACTAACGTGTCCTTGAAGGTACTGACTCAATCTGTCTCCTTATATGCAAATAGGAAAAGACTATTACAGACGCTAAAGTTAAAAATACATTTGAAACTTATGGTTTCTGGTTGTGCATGTAAGGAGGTTGAAAGTTGCCACTCCACAGTTAACAACAGGTAAAAAAAAAAAGGCTGAGCAAACTGAAAAATCAACAACTCTTTTTGGATCCCTAAGAGAGGGAGGACATAGCGCAAAACTGGAGAGACAGGCAGGCAAATCCAGGAAGTTAGGGCTTACAAGAGAGCCACGAGTAGAAACTGCCTCAGGAACCATCGCCAGGGTAGAAAAACCTGGCCTGTAAATGCCAAATTGCTGAAGGCTCAGAGCCGACCACTCCAACAGTTAAAAACTCCAGGGGCATACAATGTTTGGGGGGGGGGCTACAATACTGTGAGATTTCCCTCAGAAACTCAACTAGGTTCCCACAGTAAATATTGGAGAAAAACGTCCTGATGCTTCTGGCAGGGGGAAGGGAAAACAAATCATTTGGAAAGAAAATACTTCAGAACACTCTGTTTTTCTCAACAAAGCCTGTCTTTGGTGGAAACTAGTTAACCAGAACCTATCCTGCTGGGGTATTATCACAGCCTAACCGACCTGGAGGAAGGGAAACACCCAACTCCAGTTCCCTCGATGTGCCCTGGCCCCCAAGAAGGGACAAAAACAAATGAGAAACTCTCCAGAAGTTCATAGTTCAGAGGCACAGGCTCCGTAAAACACTGAGATCTAATCACAGGACTACAGAACATTCCCTTCCCATCTCACCACCACATTACAAAAGGTCAATTTACAGCAGTTCCTTTTACCCAGTACATCATATCTGGCTATGAAGAAAAAAATTACAAGGCATACCAAAACTAAAAAAAAAAAAAAGAAAAAAGAAAACAAAGAGCAAGTATCAGAACCATACAAGGCAGGATTGTTGGAATTATCAGATTGGGAATTTTTAAAAAGCTATGATTAATATGCTAATGGCTCTAGTAGATAAAACAGACTACATGCAAAAACGAATGGGCAGTGTAAGCAGAGAGATGTACATCCTACGCAAGGACCGAAAAGAAATGTCAGAGATGAAAAACAGTGTAACAGAAATGAATAATGCTTTTAATGGGCTTATTAGTACACTGGACAAGGCTGAGGAAAGAATCTGAGCTGGAGGATATATCAACAGAATCTTTAAAAAGCAAAGAAAACACACACTAAAAAATAGAACAGACTATCCAAGGACCGTGAGCCAACTACAAAAGGTGTGTGTATATAACATACACATAATGGGAATACCAGAAGGGGGAAAAAAGAGAGAATAAGAACAGGAACAATATTTAAAACAGCAATGGCCCTGGCTGGCGCGGCTCAGTGGACTGAGTGCCAGCCTGTGAACCAAAAGGTCGCTGCTTTGATTCCCAGTGCAGGGCACGTGCCTGGGTTGCAGGCTGGGTCCCAGGTTGGGAGTGTGCAAGAGGCAACCAACTGATGTATCTCTTGCACATTGATGTTTCTCTCCCTTTCTTCCCCTCTCTCTAAAAAATAAATAAAATCTTAAAAAAATAAATACATGACTGAGAATTCCCTCAAATTAATCTCTAATCACAGACCCAGGAAACCCTGAGAACATCAAGAAGAATGAATGTCCATTAAACTATATGAAGGCATATAATTTTTAGGCTGCAGGAAATCAAAAATAAGGGAAAAACTCTGAAGAAAGCCAGAGAAATAAAACACCTTACCAATACAAGAGAGATCTAAGAATTATATCCAATTTCTCTTCAGAAACCATGCAAGCAAGAAGAATGGAGTGAAAGTTAAAGTGTGGAAAGGAAAAAAAAAACACCACAGACTTAGAATACTGTACCTTGTGAAATTATTCTTCAGAAATGAAGGAGAAATAAAGACTTTTTCAGACAAACAAAAATTGAGGGAATTTCTTTCAAGATATATTACCACTGTAGTCCTCCACTCTACCTACTGAGCTATCAAAGGAAGCACTCTTGCAAGATATATTAAAAGAAGTTCTATAGAGAAGAAAAATAAGGTAGGTCAGAGACTTGGATCCACATAAAAGGGACAGCACTGAAGAAATATGTGAAGGTAAAATAAAAACTTATTTTTCTAAGCCAGGCAGTGAAAGACAAATACCATATGATCTCATTTCTAAGTGGAATCTATTCAACAAAATAAACTAACAAACAAAAGAAACCACAGGCTTGGAAACATGGAGCAGACTGAAAGTGACCAGAGGGGATGGGGAAGGAAGACAATGGTGGAAAGAAGGAGAAAGGACTAGACAAAGGACATGGATGAATGGCCCATGGACATGGACAGCAGAGTGGGAATGGACTGTGGCGGGGGGCAGGGGAGAGCAACGGGGGGAAATTGGGGCAACTGTATAGAACAAAAATAAAAAATCTTTCATTTTTTTATTCCTAAGTAATCAAATAGTAAGTATTCAAAATAATATCAACAATGTTTTCAATGATGTGTGCACGAGCGCATATGCTTATTATAAGTGGAATTAATTACAGGAAAGATACAAGGTATGGGAGGGGAGAATTAAGATTGTTTTGTTATTTTAAGGTCCTCAACACTTCCCATAAAATGGTATAGTGTTATGTGAAGTAGACTTGGATTCGTTGTAAAAATATATTGCAAACTCTGGGGCAACATCTAAAAAAAGCATTAAAAAAAAAAGTATAACCAATGAGCTAAGGAAAGAGAGAAAATGGAATTATACACAATGCTCAATTAAAACCACAAGAGGCAGAAAGATATTGGAAGACAAAAATGGGAACAAAGAATAAGGGCACAAAATAGAAAACAGTAATGAATATGGCAGATATTAATCCAACTACATCAATAATCACCTTGAATATTGATGGTCTAAATGCATCAATTAAAAAACAAATTGTCAGCATGGTTCAAAAAATAAGACCCAAGTATCTGATGCCTACAAGAAACCCACTTTATTTGTTTATTTATTTAAAGATTTTACTTACTTTTTTTTTTTCAGAGAGAGGGGAAGGGAGGGAGAAAGAGAGGGAAACATCGATGTGCCAGAGAAGCATCAATTGACTGCCTCTTGCATGGGCCCCGACTAGGGACTGAACCCACAACCCAGGCATGTGCCCTTAACGGGAATCAAACTGGAGACCCTCCACTTTGTAGGACCTTTTGCTTTGTGGGAGGATGTCCAACCCACTGAGCTACATTGGTCAGAGCAGAAACTCGCTTTAAATATAAAGACACTTAGCTTTGTGCAGTGGGAATACTGTAGTCAATGAGGTTTATCCAAGGCACAATTATTGCTAATTGTTTAAAAATAAAGAAATATAAAGGCACTTATAGATTAAAAGTAAGTGAATGGAGGAAAACATACCATGCTAACACTACTCAAAAGAAAGCAGGAGTAGCTATATTCGCTTCAGACAAAGACTTTATTTTTCTTAAGATTTTACTTGTTTATTTTTAGAGAGAGAGGAAGGGAGGGAGAAAGAGAGGAAGAGAAATATCAATGTATGGCTACCTCTCACACGCCCCCTACTGGGGACCTGGCCCACAACCCAGGCATGTGCCCTGACTGGGAATTAAACTGGTGACCCTTGGGTTCGCAGGCCAGCACTGAGTCCACTGAGCCACACCAGCCAGGGCCAAAGACTTTAAAACCTTGATACCAAGGAAAGGTATCAGATAAAAAGAGCCTTACATGATGATATAGGTCTGTTTTCCAAGAAGGCATGCCAATCCTTAATATGTATGTGCCTAACAGGAGTGTCAAAGTAATGAGGCAAAAACTAATAGAACTGCAAGGAGAAACAGATAAATCTATTATTACAGTTGAAGATTTCACCACCCCTCTTTGACACCCAATGGACAGATCCAGCAGGCGAAAAAAATCAGTAAAGACATAGCTGAACTCAATAACACCATCAATCAACTGGATATAATTGACATAGACCACTTCATCCAAAACAGCAGAATATATATTCTTCTAAAGCTCCCATGGAATATTCACCAAGACAGACCACATTCTAGGTCATAAAACACCCATTAGATAATTTAAAGAATAGAAGTCATACAATGTCTGCCCTCAGACCACAATGAAAATAGAAATCAGTAACAGAAAAATAACTGGAAAAATCCTGAAGTACACAGAAATTAAACAACATAGTTAACATGTGGGTTACTGAAGAACTCTCAGGAAAATTAAAAAATATTTTAAACTAAATGAAAATGGAAGCACAACTTATGAAAATCTGCGGGATACAGCAAAAGCAATGGTTAGTGGGAAATTTATAGCACTGAATACATACAGAGTGGGTAAAAGTAGGTTTATAGCTGTTCTTATGGGAAATTATACATTAATAAATAGTAATACAAGAATAACTGTTTTCCACATTCACATCTGTAAACCTACTTTTATCCTACCTGTATATGAAAAAAACAACCTAAAGATCTAAAATCAATGATCTAAGTTTCTACCTTAGGAAACCAGAAAAAGAAGATCAAATTAAATCTTAAGTTAGTAGAATAAAAGAAATTATAAAAATTAAAACAAATCAATGAAATTGAATACAGAAAAGCAATGAAACCAAAACCTTGCTCTTTGAAAAGATCAATAAAATCAGTAAGCTTCTAGTCAAGCTAAGTAAGAAAAGAGAGAGAAAACACAAATATCAGAAATGAAAGAGGGGAAAGCACTACAAATTCTATGCACAATAAAACTATGAACAACTGTATGTCCACAAATTTGATAAACTAGATGAAATGGACCAATATTTTGAAAGACAAAATTTGCCAAAACTCACACAAGAAGAAATAGACAACCTGAATAGGCTTATATCTAATAAAGAAATTCAATCAATAACAACAACCTTCCAAAACAGAAAGCATTAGGTTCAGGTGAGTTTAATGGTGACTTCTACCAGAACTGTAAGGAAGAGACTCTACAGTCTCTTTCAGAGGACAAAGCAGAAGGGATACTTTCAACTCAATCTATGAGGCCAGAATCATCCTAACACCAACACCCAAAAAAATATTACAAGAAAAAAAAACACACTAGAGATCAGTATCTCCCATGAACACAGATACAACTACCTTAAACAAAATATTAGCAAATCAAATCAACAATGTATAAAAAGAATTATAAACCATACCCGAGTAGGATTTACCCCAAGTATGCAGACTGGTTCGACATTCAAAATTCAATTAATGTAATCTATCACAACAATAGGCTAAAAAAAACCCCTCAGTAAACTCAAAGTAGAGGGGAACTTCCTCAGCTTCATAAAGAACACATATGAGCCCTGAGCGGTGTGGCTCAGCTGTTTGAACGTCATGTCACGAAGTGGAGGGTCACTGTTTCGATTCCTGGTCAGGGCACATGCGTGCATTGCAGGTTTGGTCCGGGAGGCAACTGATCGATGTTTCTCTCCCTCCCTAACTCCCTCCCTTCCCTTCTCTCTAAAAATAAATAAGTAAAATCTTTAATAAAAAAAAATACCTATGAAAATTCTACAGCTAACATCAGATTTAATGGCAGGAAACTCGAAGCTTTCCCGCTGAGATCAGGTACAAGGATCTGGCCTCTCTCTACTCCTTTTCAACATCGTACTGGAAGTTCTAGCTAACCCAATAAGATAAGAAAAGGCATATAGATTGGGCTGAAGGAAATAAAGCTGGCTTTGTTCACAGATGACATGATCATCTATGTAGAAGATCCAAAAGAATCTACCAGAATAACTCCTAGGATTACAGTAAGGTTGTATTGTAGGATACAAGATTAAAACACAAAAGTCAATTACTTTCTTATATACCAGCAATGAACAGGAGGAATCTGAAATTAAAAACAATACCACTTATATCAGCATTGCACAAAATGAAACACTTAGGTATTAATATAACAAAATATGTATAAGATCTATCTATATGAGGAAAACTACAGAAATCTCATAAAAAAAATCAAAGAACTACAGAAATGGAGAGATATTCCATGTTCACAGATAGGAAGACTCAATATTGTCAAGATACTAGTTCTTCCCTACAACATCTATAGGTTCAATGGGATCACAAAGTAATTTTGTGGACATTGACAAACTGATTCTGGAGTTAAATAGAGAGGGAAAAGACCGAAAATAACCAATACAATACTGAAGAAACTTAGAGGATTAATACTACTTAACTTGAAGCTACAGTAATTAAAACAGTGTGGTACTAATGAAAGAAGAGAAAACCAGATGAATGGAATAGAATAGAGTCCAGAAATAAATCCACATAAATATAGTCAACTGATCTTTGACAAAAGAGAAAAGACAATTAAATGGAGAAAGGATAGTTTTTCCAACAAATTGTGTTAAAACTGAATATCCATGAGAGAACAAAAAATCCAAACAACTATTCCATAGACCTTATACATTTCAAGAAAATTAACTCACTCAAAATGAATCACAGACCTAAATAAAAAAGGGAAAAGTATAAAACTCCTAGAAAATAACAAAGCCTAGATGACCTTGGAAATAGTAAGGACTTATTAGATACAACACCAAAGATATAATCCATGAAAGAAATAATTTAACAGTTGTACTTCATTAAAATTAAAAACTTCTGCTCTGCATAAGAGCATGAGACCACAAGCCACAGATCGCAAGAACAAAGACTTGCTGGGCCAGAATGGCCCAGTTGGTTGGGCATTGATCCACAAACTGAAAGGCTGCAGGTTCAATTCCTGGTCAGGGCACATGCCCCGGTTGCAGGTTCAATCCCTAGTTCTGGCGTATGCAAGAGGCAACCGACTGATGTTTCTCTTCCTCATTGGTGTTTTTCTCCCTCTCCTTCTTCCCTTCCCCTCTCTTTGGAATCAGTCAAAGAAAAAAAATTTTTTTAAATGTACAAAGAATTCTTAAAACTCAACAAATAGAGAGTTAACCAATTAAAAAATGGGCCCAAGACCTTAAGGAACATCTCACCAAACAAGATAAACAGATGGCAAATAAGCATTTGAAAAGATGCTCCACATCATGTATCATCAAAGAAATGCAAGTTAAAACAGTGAGATACCACTACACACCTACTAGCATGGCCAGAATGCAAAACGCTGGCAACACCAAATGCTGATCAGGATGTCAAGTAATGGGAACTCTCATTCATTGCTGCTGGGAATGCAAAATGATACAGCCACACTGGAAGATAGTTTGGCAGTTTCTTGTAAGACTAAACATACTCTTACCACATGATCCAGCAACCACTCTCGTTGGTATTTACTCAAAGGAGGTAAAAACTTTTGTCTGCACAAAAACCTGAACAGAGATGTTTATAGCAATTTATTCATAATTGCCAAAATTAGAAGCAACCAAGATGTCCTTCAGTATGTGAATGGATAAACAAACTCTGGTACATTTGGACAATGGAATATTATTCAGCAATAAAGAGAAATGAGCTATCAGGCCATAAGAAGACATGGAGGAACTTTACATATATAAGTGAAAGAGGGCAATCTGAAAATACTGCACACTGTATAATTCTAACTATATGGCATTCGGGAAGGAGAAACTAGGGAGACAGTAAAAATATCAACAGTTACCAGAAGTTTGGCAGGGAGGGATGAATTGGCAGGGTATGGATGATACCGTATTGATGGACAATTGTCATTACACATTTGTCCAAACCAGGAGAATTTACGAGATCAAGAGTGAATCATAATGTAAACTGTGCACTTTTGGATGATTATGATGTGTCAATTCAGGTTCATCAACTGTAAAATTTGTACTACTTTATTGGGGGATGTTGATGGTGGGGGAAGCTATCCAAGTGTGGGAACAGGGGGTGTATGAGAAATCTCTGTATCTACCCCTCAATTCTGCTGTGAACCTTAAGGTGCTCTTTAAAAATGGTCTTAACTTTTAAAAAATGCAGATTAGAGACATCATGATCGATAGAGCCTGTACATACGGGATTTAGGGGACAGGAAAAGGGTTAAGTTTTAAATAAGGAGGAGGAGCTTTTCCACTAAGACAAGAAGGAAGAGGGTAAAGGCAAGTACCTAGCTCTACGAAGAACTTCAATATTACAATGGTAGCATCATGAATTAATGGAGTGATTTAAAAAGTTATTTGATTCCCGGCTGGTGTGGCTTAGTGGATTGAGCACAGGCCTGTGAACCGAGAGGTTCCTGGTTTTATGCCCAGTCAGGGCACATGCCTGGGCTACAGGGCGCATCTCCTGTTGGGGGTGTGCGAGAGACAACCAATCAGTGTTTCTCTCCTTTCCCCCCCCTTCCCTTGTTTATGAAGATAAATAAATAAAACCTTTTAAAAAAAGTTACTTGAGGAGCATTTGAGATCTGGCTCCCTGGCATATGTTGTCAGGTTGGTTTAAATACATTTTTCTTTAAACTTACTTGATAAACTGTCCACTAAAAATGGTTAAAATGGTAATTTTTATTATGTATATTTACCACAATTATATACACTTGATTACTACCCAATTTCCATACTCTAATAGGTTAAGCACTGACCGTTACATTTCACGTTAGCTCAAATTGAGCTTTTATTTCACTAAGTACTCTAGATCTTACATAAGACAGGTCCTATTTAACTTCTAGTGGCCACTGAAAAAGATGTATTCCACTTTATCTACAGTTTGCCTATTTCTACTTAACAGAACCAACCAAAGATCTTACCATCTGAAATACATCAGAGCCTTCATCAAAATCCACCATGGCGAAAAATATTCTGTTGGTAAATGCACTGGAGTATCGCCAGGAATTTGCCAGGATCTGGAATTCTTCATCAGCTTGCCTGGATGCCATCAGATTTGTGGAGATAAAATATAAAACATTTTAAAAAACAGTCTAGCTTATCAGCAGTAAAACAGACCCAAAGACACACTAGCAGTCCAATGGGGGTGGGGCATTGGACAAGCAGGTCAGGCTCTGCCGTTATTTCGTTGTAAGACAGGCCCTGCCCCAACTGCTTGGGATTTCAAAAGAAAGTAGTAATTACCTGTCTACATCTCATATTTTTTGCCTCTTCCTTATCTCAAAGCCCTTCAGCAGTCACTGAAAAATCCAGCTAATTGTCTCTACAATGGTTAATACACTAAATTACTTCTCAGAGTTCAAAGACAAGGTTGAAGTATTTCCCCAGAGAAAGTACCTAGATGATAAACTCTTCAGAACCTGGTACTTTTCTATCACCTTCAGAAGACAGCCTCCAAGCTCTTTCACTGGTTCTTCAACGTTCTTTATCATCTAGTTCCAAACAATGCACCTAGCTTTTATTTATATTTTTAAAAAGATTTTCTTTATTTTTAGAGAGGGGAGGGGAGGGAGAAGGAAAGGGAGAGAAACATCCATGTGCGAGAGAAATATCTGTTGCCTCCTGCACGCCCCCAACCGGGGACTGAGCCTGAAACCCAGGCACGTGCCCTGACTGGGAATTGAGCCGGTGACCTTTTGGTTTGCAGGACGATGCCAAACCCACTGAGCTACAGTAGCGAGGGCTGTATCTAGCTATCAATCTCAAACAGGATATATTAATTGCGGTTTTTTAAATTTATTCCTATCTGTGTACCCTTGTACGCATCATTGCTTCTCACCAGAATATCTTAGAATCTAAACCTGAGCTGCATGTCCAGCCCTAGTACAAGTTCTATCTTCTCCACTAGGCCAATCGTAACCATCCTGTTATACATTCTTCCTGAAATTTTACAGTCTTATTATGTACACAAGTCACAGCGTATTTAATCATAAATTGTCTTATACTGCCAGTAGAATTTTCATGTGTGGAATGCACTTCCCTAGCCAGATTACGAGGGTAGGTCATCTTTCTTATACGTCTCATCCTGATAGCACCAAATATATAGTAGTATACATACTGCTGTTGCTTCATTTTATTTTTTGTGAGTGTAGGCAAATGGGAGCTAATTTTAATTTTGGTCTTGTAGAAAGTGAGACACAAATAAAAACGTAGGTTACTAAGAATTCCACTGATTTGTATTTAATACAGTATTATGGAGTCTGTGTTTATTCCCTGACATTTCTGTACATTGCTGATTGCCAGTGAGTGAACTGACGACTATAAGTAATTCTAGATTTTAAGTTTATTCACAGCTACTACCTACTTTTCTTTTTGCGTCTCCTTATTTTCAACATTTACCCCAGAAAATAAGTACTTGGGCACCAAATACCTTGACTATCTCCTACCTCCAAGGAGAAAATCCTTTAAGAAGAGTTATTAGCAAGGCTTGGGGTAGCATAATACAGTATTGTGAAAGGAGGCTGGCTAGTCCTTCACATGGGCTCAGGCTGCCAGAATTTGGAAAGCCTCCAAGGTTTTACTAAATTAGTTCTTCACAGGGCAGCTTTGTCATTTCATTTTAAGTAAATTCCCAAGATCACACATAGTGATCTAAAAATACAAGTAAAAAAAAAAAAACACCCAAAAACCAAAAGGCAAAGGCTGTTTTATTTTTTAGTATCCACTATTTTTAATTATCCATAGTTTGTTTAAAGAAAAACCAATCTTTATTCTTAAGATCATTCAGAAACGGTGAAATAAAATCAATAAGCCATTATTTGATGAAAGCTTAAGTGAAGTTAGTCTCCATTTTCAAGATTTAAATCACTACCAAATAATCTAGGAAAAAAAAAAATCTTGCCCTGACCAGGTAGCTCAGTTGGTTGGAGCATCATCCCATATACCAAAAGGTTGCAGGTTCGATCCCCAGTCAGGGAGCATACTACAGGAGCGAACCAATGGATATTTCTCTGGCACATCAATGTTTGTTTCTCTCTCCCTCTCCCCCATCCTCCCCCCCGGTCTAAAAATCAATGAACATATTCTTGGGTGAGGATAAAAAAAAAAAAAGAAAGAAATATCTTTAAATCATACATCTTTGTTTCCTAAAAAAGTTCTCTTCTAATCCCAAACTTGAGTGTAGCTGCCATTGTTGCATTAATAGATTACCTGTAGCTTTGGGTAAACCAGTTAAAATTTTGTAACTTGTTTCTTCAAGACTGAGAGTTATTTGCTTTACCACATTTTGGGGGTATTGTGATAAAACAAAGGTATGTAGTTGAAAGCACTTACAAATAATAAAACAGTACACCATGGTACTGGCATATATTTATATAAGTTGATACCAATTTAGAAGATAATTGTTAGATTTATTCCTATGATCGCTACAATACTTTATCCTTCCTCTTCAGTCCTCCCATAATGCAGACAACTAAGATACGACTATAAAAGAGCAGTAGTATTAAGTATTAAGGAAGGTATACACATTAATTATGTACCCACTAAACTAATTTTGTTCTTCTGGGATTGAAAAGTGGTTAAAATGATATGAGTTATTTAATTTTAAAATGTAGTTGAAAGTTCATACTTGCACACAACACATTGTCTATGAAGTTGGAGAGCAGTGAACATGACAATAACGGAGTAGTTTCTTGGTGGGGCTTTAACAAGGCGACGGAACTTGTCTCCATTCATTCTTATTACAGGTCTTTTATTGGTCCATTCCATCAGTTGACTGACCTTTTCAGATAACACCATCTAAAAAAGACAAAGGGAGCACACTGTTAATATCCTCAACTTGCCATTTAAAGATCCTTTTATCCAGGCAACTTAACACCAAGAATAACAAGCAGAGGTACATAGAAAATGGGAGAGACCTAAAAATAAATTTTAGGAGTTGGGCCTGATAGGGATAATTATTCTTAAAATTATATTATTTCATGATGATATTTTAATCAAAGACTATAGTTTTTAATGTGAATTGTTTGTTATCTACTAATAAATAAAACAGTATAAAATCCTAAACCCTTTCATTTGCCAAAGATTCCAAAGAATGTGGAGTTAAACCAACTGGCTGGTTTCATGTAAGACTTCACTTCTCAAAACACACACACACACACACACGCATGCACGCACACACCCTACAGAGAAACTAGAACAGCTGAAACAATCTTGAAAACAAAGAATAAAGTAGGAGGACTCACTCTAGCAGATTTTAAGGTTTACTATGTAACTACAGTTAGCAAGGCAGGGTAGCAGTGATGAAGGGGTAGGCACACGGATCACTGAACAGAACCAAGGACCCAGACACAGACCTATACAGGTAGAGTCAACTAATTTTTTCAGAAACGTGCAAAAGCCACCCAGTCGAGGAAGGAGAGTCCCTTCTACAAATGGTGCTGGAGCAACCGGATGGACATCCAGAGCCAAAAATATGAAACTTAAAGTAAACTCTATACCTTATACAAAAAGTAACTCAACATGGATCACATACTCAAATGTAAAAATAAAACTATAAAAATTTTAGGAGAAAATGCTCAGGAATTAGGGCCAGGTAAAGTTCTTAGACCTGACATCAAAAAGCACAATTCACCAGAAGAAAAAAAATTAATAAACTAGACATCATCAGAATTAAAACTTTTGCTCTGTGAAAGACCCTGTGAAGACGATGAAAAGACAAACATAATTTGCCTACTTTACTCACCATGGTTGCAGACTCTCCGTGGGGCTATTTTAGACAAAAAGTGTAAAGCAGTAACAAGTATTGAAATAGTTTTTTATACAGTCTATCTCTATTCAATCACACAGAGATGCGATCATTCCAACCAAACAAGTGTATGTGCTCTGAATTAGCTATAAACATGTGGAGTCTTCTTCAAAAGTCTTGAATAAACTTTTAATTTTATTCAAGTCTGATGTCAGGTCTATGTAAAACATTTACAATACTCCCGTTCTTGTTTATTAACAGACTAGAAAGGCCAGATTTCTGGCTATTTAATCTCCAAATAATTTATCCAGTTGAAGAAATTAGTTCAGTGCAATTACAAATTCTCATTAAAGCTCTTAGGAGATTATTACCTCAAAAGAATGGTTAATACAGGGGCCATCAGGTTACTTTCCGAGCTCATTTTCTTTAATATGAGTTGTAGACTGGTCACAACGAAAGATAAACTAGTTTTCAACTTTTACAATAAAATTACACAAACACAGCCTGGAACATAATAATCAGAGGTTGTAATCCTTATCACAATGATCTAATATTTTAATATGTCTTAAAGTATGCCTCTCTTGAATTGATTTTCTTTTTGAGAAAACAGCAGCTACTAAAGCAGCTTAACATCAGCCAATGGTTCTGTGACTTTAAGTAAAACAAGGTATAATAACCCCAATTTTAACATCGGCTAACTGATATAAACAAGAGTTAAGTTCCTACGTTATAAGGAAACAACAAAAGGATACTATCAGGGAGTCTGCTGTATTTGAAATGATTAGTATGTACATATTAGGCAACAACTTCTCTCATTATAGAGAATACAGAATTTAATTCAAATCTCAAAACAACACTATGAGGTACTCTTTTTTTATCGTCATTTAACTGTTGAATAACCAGAACCACAGAGGTCGAGTGACGTGTCAAAAATGTCCAGAGTTAGGAAGACAGAGCTAGGATTCAAAGTGCCCATGTTCATTCTAAACCAGGGTTTCTCAACAACAGCACCACTGACATCTTGGGCCAGATCACTACTTGTTCCAGGCAGCTGTGCTGCACAATGCAGGATGTTGAGCGGCACCCTAACGTCTACCTACTAGATGCCAGTAGCACCTCTACCCTCAGCTACAACCACCAAAGATGCCTCCATACATTGCCACATAACCCTTGGGGAGCAAAACTCCCTCATTGAGAACAGCTCTAAAATGACAAGAATTTTCACAGTAAGATTTACCGTATTTTGCCATATATAATACGCACCTGTTTTTGTGCGCATTCTACATGGGATTATTATAGTTGTCGCTAATATCCATGTATAATGCACATCCTTATTTTTCTCTCAAAAATCGGGGCAAAACAGTGTGCATTATACACGGCAAAATACGGTACCTAGGTTTTGGGTTCTATCCCTGGTCTGAGGGATGTTTCTTTATCTCTCCCTTTCTCTGTCTGTCTCTAATTTCAATAAACAGATTTTAAAAAATATGGACAATTTTATCAAAGACCATGCTTTTTCATGTTTATCATATTACCTAATGAAAACACCACCAGATGCAAGGACAAGTACCTTGCCTTCTACCACAGGAGGCAAATAATTCACTATAAAAATAAAACAAGTCACTACAAAACAAACCTTCATGCCTGGCAGAGAGCATAGGCTTTGGAGCCAGACCAGTGGTGGACCAGCTCAACCATGACAGCTGTGCTTCTTTGGACAAACTCCCCACCCATCTCTTGCTCAGCATCAGTTCCATCATTTTCAAAAGAGGTTAATACTTACTCTGCAGGGTTACTCTGAGGATTGCAGATAATGTATGGTAAATACAGGGCCTGCCACGTACAAGGCATTGAATAAATATCAGAGACTAAGTCAATATTCCAGTGCAAACACTGTTACAGGTGTAAATAATCAGATAAGTAGGGTACCATTCTATTTAACAACAGACAACCATGAGGAACTTGAGTGATTTTTTAATTATATTCATTTAGAAGATGTGTTTTTTTTTTTAAATTTATTTTTAGAGAGAGGGGAAGGGTGGGAAAGAGAGAGGGAGAGAAACATCAACATGTGGTTGCCTCTCACATGCCCCCCACTGGGGACCTGGCCCACGACCCAGGCATGTGCCCTGACTGGGAATCAAACTGGCAACCGTTTGGTTTGCAGGCTGGCACTCAATCCACTGAGCCACACCAGCCAGGGGCAGGAGATGTGGTTGTTTTTTTTCAAAGAATACTTATAAGATCAAATATTACCCTCTGTTTAAAGCCAAATCTACTATAGTAGATAGACCTGAGGTTTTGTTAAAATAAATTTTTCAAATATTGACAAAAACAACCCTAAGTGTTCTGCAACAGAACATCTATATTTTTAAACTGTAAGTAGTATTGAGTATCATAGTAACCTTTCTTTAAAGTCTAAAGTATCCTCAGTTAGAGGGGAAAGAGGTAAAAACTAAAACACCTTTACCAGCCTATACTAATCCCTTGTTTACTAATGAGAAAATCCAATCTTAGGTTGTGACACCTGCATGTGAAAGAACAGTCATGACTCTATATGCACGCGATTAATTAACTAATTAATTAATTAATTGGATCTTTTCTGAGGACCATTTTGACAGACACTGCTAGGTGCTAGGGAAAGAAAAATTAATTTGTAAGTGCCTGTATTTAAGATGCTCACAGTCTAATGGGAAGGACTGGTATATAAACAATGGTAATAAAATGTGCTGAATTGATATCAATTCACCTGGGGGAATCAGGAAAAGCTTAGTTGAGGAAGAAAGTAATGTTTGAGCTAAGACTTAAAGAGCAGGAAACCTCAGGTGAATGAAGGGGTAGGGTGAGAGAGAAGAGAGATACCCCAGCAGAAGGCCAACAAGTACAGACACAAGAGAATACAAGATCAAGGAAGGCAGGTAACTCAGTATAACTAGGACAAGGAGGATTTGGGACTGAGACGAGGCTGGAAGAAGCAGACCAGGCACAGGCTACAGAAGCCCTGTTATACTTTGCAAAATGGGTGAAAAGGTTTTCAGATTTTCATTTTCATCTCTGGCAACACTACGAAGGATGGATTCAAGAAAGACCAGTCAAGGTTGGTGAGAGCGATAAGCATGTAAACAGTGGGCATGATGGAAAGGGAGTTAGAATCTGATTACTTTTATAAAAAATTTTGAGATGAAATTCACATAACAAAACCCACCATGTTAACCATTTTCAATTATATAAGCCATTGCTAATTCCTTTTAAAAATAATTTATCTTCCGCTAGGCCCCTCTGCTTCTAGTTCAGCGAGAGATTAAATGAATAAATACAGCCCTGGCTGGTGTGGCTCAGTGGATTGAGCGCCAGCCTGTGAACCAAGAGGTCACCGGTTTGATTCCCAGTCAGGGCTCATGCCTGGGATGTGGGCCAGGTCCATGCGAGAGGCAGCCGATCGCCGTTTCTCTCACACGTGGATGTTTCTCTCCCTCTTTCTCCCTCCCTTTCCCTCTCTCTAAAAATAAATAATTTTTAAAAAATTGAATAAATATAACTTTAGTAGAAATACTAGTTTTTAAAAAAAACTACACTTTATTTATAAAAAGTGGTCACTGCAGAAATTCGGGCAAATACCAGTACATAAGGTAAAAAGGAAAAGTGCTTCCCTAATTAACAATCCCAGCTACTGAAATACAGCCACTATTAAGAGAGCGGTGTGTATCCTACCTACATTGTATATAGCATTTTTTACATAAAAGACATCCAGGATATAGAAGTACGTACCACTCTATATCTTGTTTTACATGAAAAAATGGCTTGGAATCCTCCTAAATACTCACATCAATTCATAGTTCCAGTGTATGAGCCTGCTCACTTTACCATTCCTTTAAAAATTGTATATATTTTTATTTTATTCTTTGCTAATGTAATAAGCACCTCGTTTTAAATTGCTAGCTTTTTTCCTTATGGAATACCTCAAATATTCACAAACAGAAAAGATGGGATCTTTTTCAATTCAGCTCAAGTTGACAAGCATCTGCGATGTTTAAATGGTATATTAAAAGTGCATGCACGGATACTTGTACTAGAGGAAGCAGAGAGCTGTATAGGAAACAGCTTTAAGACTGATGGGCTGGTCTAGGGTTTTAGTCTTCGTTGTGCAACAGTTAACTGTGTAAGCGTAACACACGGTTTTCCTCATCTATAAAAAAGAAAACTAGAGAGCATAAATGATTGCTGGCAATCTTTAAAGCTTTAAGAGCATATGGCTCTAAGTCACAAGTGTTTCAAAATAGTGTTAAAATTTCTGTCTGGATTGTTTAATTATGAGTAAAGAATAGTTATCTCCTCTACTTGCTAAAGTCAGTAAATTCCACGAGTAAAAAAAAATTCTTAGTTTTTTTCACTTACGAATGGCAGAGTCCTAGAACAGTGCCTGGAACGTTTGGTATTTGGTAAATGAAAATGGTTTAATAGCTTCCACGTCCGTAAATTGCTCTGAATCAATTGTTTGGACAATGTAATAAATCTGGCATAGTTTCGCAATTCAGTTTAATTTTTACATTTCTGAATTAAAAGTGCTATACATTGCTCTTACACGTCTATAATGGACTTAAATCAACTGGCAGCAGAACACTCTGATATTCTACCCGCTGGACCTAAAGTCGAACTTCGCCCACCACCTGATGGGGCCCATACACATGCACAGGCCTAGAGAAACCAGGTTGTCCCATACCCCACCCCACTGTCAGACTCTACATCCCCAGAAGACAAGGAGTTAAGTTTCTTCTCTCCCAAACCCCGCAACTCCAAAAACGGCAGAACTGGAGCCACCAAAGACATAGAACCGACAGGGAAAGGGGGTCGGGAGAGAGAACAGATCCTCTCAAGCTCCAATCATTGGGAAATGCCCGTGTTGCTGGAAACAGCGTCCTTACCTCCTTCTTTCTTTGAGCAGAGGCTGAGGGAAGCCCATAAACCAGTAGCAGCGTCAACGCAATGGTTGCAGAGATACACCGAAGCCACGAATGCGCTGCCATGTTTGCTCCTCTCCCTCCTAAAAGCGAAACTTTCCTTGGGTTGAGTCTGCGGGTTGGGCGTGAGAACAAGCAAACCAACCCCTTGGCCCTCCTCATTGGTCTAGCTCGGCCCTACCGGGCGACCTTTCACATTACGTCACTGCGCTTTTCTGTGAGATGCCCGCTAAAAGACGGTTCACTTCTAATTGGTCTCCGGTAGCCAATAGAAAAAGGATAATCTGGAGGTTTTTCATTGGTCCGCTAAGGATAATAGGTCGCCCCTTTCTTTTACGTAAGCAAGTCGCGCTTCCGGGCTCCGTACTTGCGCGTGCCCAGTCGTGAAGCTTTGTGACTTTTCAGAGTTCATGCTGGCTTTAGGTTGATAGAATCTTACTCAGCGAGACTCATTTATGTCTTTGAAATCCACCTCTTTCGTGTAACATTCTGGTTTTTAAAGATTTTATTTATTTATTTTTAGAGAGACGGGAGGGGAAGGAGAAAGAGAGGGAGAGAAACATCAATGTGTGGTTGCCTCTCGCGTGACCCCCTACTGGGGACCTGGCCCACAATCCAGGTGTGTGCCCTGACTGGGAATCAGTCGGGGACCCTTTGGTTTGCAGGCCGGCACTCGATCCATTGAGCCACTCCAGACAGGACTCATCTTGTAACATTCTAGGAAAATTGGACCTAGCCGTGTGCTTGACAGCATGAAAGCATCTTAACCCCTCACTCTACTGCCAAATTATTTAAAATAAAAATAATCTTAAAAAGCAGGAAAGCCAAAACATACTTAATATTACTGAAGGAGGTTTTTAAAACTAAGTGAACAAGCCCTAACTGGTGTGGCTCAGTTGGTTGGGTATCCGCCAGGAAACCGAAAAGGTCGCCGATTGGATTCCCAAGTAAGGCACATAACTGGGTTGAGGGTTCCTCCCCGCTTTTCGGAATGCGAGAGGCACCAGATTGAATTTTCTCTCCCTCTTTCTCCTTCCCTTCCCTCTCCTTAAAAAAATAAATGAAATCTTTTAAAAAAGAAAAAGTGAAAGAATTGTACTCTGAACACCCACCAAGATTTTACAATCAACAATTTGTTAGACTGGCTTCATCACATATTTATCCACATACCATGAATTATTTTTATTATTCTTTTAACTTTTCTCTAAATTTGAAATTGTTTCAAAAGTAAAAGTTAAACGACTTAGTATGTAGTAATAGGAGACAAAAAAAATCAAAGAAGTGAAGGAAGTTTGGGTGGAACAGAAAGAATTACTAGTGTGGAGCAAGACACAAATTCAAGCCTCTGAAATAATATGTATTTCGAAGCTGATGACTGGTCTAAGATCAGTGTCTCAACTCTCCTCTATTGGGCTCTAAACCTGAGTTCAAGGTTTGAGAGAGGGCGCCAAACGTCATTTATAAAGCCCGAAACGAAACTACATTTCCCAAAAGGCGTTTGTCTTTCCGTGTTATAAAGAGGTTACAATTTCTATAGGTTTTCAGAGGTCTCGCGAGATTTCATTAAATCTCATTAAAGTGCCCGTCCGAAAGCCATTTTGTTTTTCAGAGTTCTTTGCAAGGGTACTTGAAGCGAAGATCCAGCAAACCCAGCAGTGCAGTTGCTACAGTTCTGTCTTCAACTTCACGATGTTTCCATTGGCCAAAAACGCGCTAAGTCGTCTCCCAGGTGAGAAAAATTGTGATCAAATCATTTCCGACGTCCTTTTATCCATTTGTCCTCGAAGTCGTTCTTCCCTTTCCCTCCACTTGCATCCCGACCTTCTAATTCTAAATGCGTAGTCTCTCACTACTCTCTAACTGCAAAGATGTCCTTAGCATTAACTTAATCACCCAGTGTTTCTGTTGCGGTTCACAGCTCTCTTTTTGTTACCGGAGCCATACCCCAGCCCTTTTTTATTATTCAGTAGTAACCTACGATTTCAGGGTAGAGCACGCTGGTCGACACCTCTTGTTCCCTAAGTAATTTCGTTAACTTTTAGCGTTGTTGGTACATTTACTCCCAAATAGAATTGCTGTAACCGTAATGGAAGGAAGCTGTAAATCTAGCTCTTCATCTGGTTTTATCGTTGGGAGACAACCTAAATGGTAGCCCCACAGCTTTTGTTATTTGTGCGTTATTTCTCATCGAAAAGTTAGGAAGGTGCTGGGGAAATTTGACACCATCATTATGTATTTGGAATGCACTAGATTGGAGAGGAAAGTCATTTCCATGATTTATTTGCACTGAAGGTGACCTTGAGTAAAGTGAGTAGTGTTAAACAATGAAAGTGACCTTAAGCTGTTACTTAGCTTTTTTAGCCATCTTTTTATTTTCAGTTTAGAGCAGTTGGAGGTATAACTAGGTGTATATAACTAGCTTGTGTTCTGAACACTCAAGCAGCTTTGACAATAACCAAAATATAGTTGCCCAGCTGGGGGTTTTTTTTGTAATCCTAAATCCCCTTCTGTTATGTCTTTCACATTGAGCAGACCTCTCTGAACCTCATTTTCCTCCTTTGTAAAATCGGGGGCTATCAAATAAAACCTACCACGTAAAGTTCTTTGAGGGTTATGAGATTACTAATGGGTGGTAACTAAACCACTTCTTGTCACAGAGAAGTCTAAAGAAATTCACGTGGGCCACCTGAGTATTGAAGTCATTAGGTGTTGCAGAATTGTTTGGTAATCATTTTTCCCCACTTTGAGCAGGTAGGGAGGGCGTTGTTGTAACTCAGGAAAGGGTTTGTTGTTGTTGTTGTTGTTGTAGTTTTTGGTTTTTATTCCAATGTGGAATTCACAAACTCACTTTTGAACTGCTCTGGAGCAGACTATAGTGTGAAATGTTTGTGAATTTGCTCATCCAAGTGTGATTAATGGTTTAAAAAATTGTAAGGCAGTTAAGAGAAGAAACCATTAATAAGAAATAACTATCCTGAAATAACACATTGTCTCATACAGAAGCAATTATATTCTTCAGTGCTAGTGAATAATCAAGATTTCTGTTTCTTTTAATATGCTTTCCATGAGTAGTGCATCAGTACCTTTTGGGGCTCTTAAACAATAAGAACATACCACTTAGATTGGAGGGGAATTTAAAAACAGCTGGGACTGTGCATTTTCCGGTTTTGGCTATTCCCAAGCCTTCCTAAGCCCCACCAGAGGCAGTGAGGCAGTGATAGTAAAAGTGAAGTTTTAATGTGGTCATTCTGCTCAAAAACCTTTACCTCAACCAAAACTATGGCCCTCCGTGAGGCTTTCTGTTTTATCCCCTATGGCTTGTCTATGCAAACAGATAATTGGTTTTCTGCTATACTGGGTTTTTCTGTCTGCCTTTTTTCAGATTCCCCTTTCTCACATCTACATAACCAAATCCTACCTGGTATTCAGAGTGCTTAGTTAACATTCTACTTCCTTCTATTACAGTGATTTGTGTCCACATGCCTAATATCTTCCTCTAGACTGGAAGTTACCTGAGGATGGGGCCTGTGTTGTACATATTTTCATGTACACCATTTCCTTTAGCATAGTGATGTATTCGTTAGTAATTTTTTTTAAAATCAAGATTGCTCTAGTTTTTGGAGGGGTTCCCTCCACCCAATTTTAAGGCCATGACCATGTAGTGTGCTTTAATTTGAAGTCCATTTTGAGTTTATTTTTTATGTTGTAAGTTGAGCAGTGCCGATTAAACCTGAGTGAAAATTTAAGTCATAAATATTCAAATTAATAATTAGGAGTCAAGTTCCAGACATGATACAAATACGAATTTGTAGTGAATGTTACTGACATAACTTGTTCTTTGTTTTCCCCCCAATACTTAACTGTGAAAACTTTCAGACATACAGAAAAGTTGGAACAATTGTATGATGAACATCCACATACCCACTGTATAGATTCTATAATTAATATTTTGGTATATTCTGTCACTTAACTTTCCATCAGGCCATCTTATTTTTGATGCCTTTCAAAGTATGGCACTTTTAGCTACAATATGTTTTAATGTTTTATAGAACTGTGTAATACTGCAAAGTTAACTTCTTTGGCTTTCTCACTTGCCAATATCAATTATCTCTTTTCCTGATAATTCATAGATATGCTTCTGTGTATTTTTTTCTTTAAGTTCGAAGCATTCAGCAAATAACAGCGAGGCAGATCAGCCAGAAACGGACACCTGATTTCCATGACAAATATGGTAACCTTGTATTAGTTAGTGGAGCCACTTTCTGTATTGCTGCGTGGGTATATGTAAGTACTATTGATTGATAATTTCTGGCTTAGATGTTTTTCATTCTCATTTAGATTTCGTATTCAAAATGTTTTCATGCAGTAGCATACATTTCTGGTTAAGAGGGACTTTAGGAGATTCCCTAATGTAATCTCCCAGAGAAGGAATTTCTTTCTCAGCATTTAGCATTCATCCGTCATCTGTTCTTAACCTTTTCCAGTAACAAGTTGCTTACTGGATCAGAAGGCAGCCAGCCCTTCCCGTGATGTATAGCTGTTTTAAAAGAATCGTATGTTGAGTTAAAAATCTGCTTCCTTCATATTTTACCAATCATTCCATTGTAACAGAAATTCTTAACTCGTTTCCATATATCAACCATTAGACGTTAGAAAAATTGCCGTCATGTGTCCTGGATCTTTCAGAGTAACAATCTATTTTTTTCTTTTTAAGAGAGGGAGAGAAATATCAGTTGGTTGCCTCTCACATGCCCCCAGCTGGGGACCCGGTCCACAATGCAGGCCTGTGCTCCCAGAGGGAATCAAACCTGCGACCCTTTGGTTTGCAAGCCGGCACCCAGTCCACTGAGCCACACCAGCCAGGGCAACAGTCTTTTTTTTTTTTGTTTTGTTTTGTTACATGGTTTCCAGGGTTTTCACCATCTTGGGTCACTATCCTTCATTTAATTAGTTTTTCTTCTAAAATTCTGCCCTTAGAACTGAATATAACATTTCTGATGGATGAGATATAAAGTGACTTGCTTTCAATATTTTAGGGTTTTTTTCCCCCCACAATCTACTTATTAGCCACTATACTTGCTGGTTAAAAGGAGGAGTCTTGCCCTGGTTGGGTGGTTCAGTTGATAGGAGCGTTCTGCACACCAGAAGGTAGTGGGTTCAATTCCAGGTCAGGGCACATGCCTAGGTTGTGGGTTTGGTGCCTGCAGAAGGCAGCTGATCGATGTTTTTCTCTCCCTCTCCCTTCTTCTCTCTAAAATCAATGAACATATCCTCATATGGGGATTAAAAAAAAAGTAGTCTTGAAGTTAAAATAATTATATAAGTTGATTTTAAAAGGTAGGAATCAATGCTTGCCTTAATAAACAAAGATATTTTAATAGGCCTTTTTCATTCCTGTTTTGATCTTCCTGAAATCAGATATACTATTTAAATAAGTGTGTGTATTTAATTAGAAGAGTAAACAGATGTTGAACAAATGTGTGATCGGGGCACTTTTGGAGGTGAAGTGCTCCTTTATGAAGGGTTATTACAAAAGTGTTCTTTGGCAGTTGTGCATGAGTGAATCAACATTTTGAGGAGGTAGTATAAAATGTGAAATACAAACTTAGTTAATTAAATAAAGTTAAAAATTCAGTTCCTTTGCCATACTAGCCACATTTTAATAACTGATGCGGCTGGTCAGTACCAATACAGAAGATTTCCTTCACCTCAGGAACTTCTATTGAACAGCATTGCTCTAGAGAATTAGCACAGGAATTAGATTTGCCTACAGAGGGCACTATATTCCAGTGAGTTTCTATTTGTTTTTCACCTATAGAGCAGAAGAATGACTTTGTCACTTTGAAGAAATAGTCTCCAAGGGAGAAGGGACTCTGGTTTAAACATGTATAACTGACACCATTTTAATTCTTACAGACAGCGACACAAATTGGAATAGAATGGAACCTGTCCCCTGTTGGCAGAGTCACCCCAAAGGAATGGAGAGATTAATAATCATCGCAGCTGGTGTAATTAATTGTCCCAAAACCAACACATAATCTGCCAAGTGAAAGCGCTGTGTACCCATGAAAATATGGCATGATTGAAGAAATAAAGTACATTTGAAATCTTCATTGTAGGTTTGTTTGTTTCTTTTGTGAATGGAACCAACCTTGATCACTTACCATTTATTTAACCTTTGTGTTAATAAAATCAAAATGGTATACAACCTAAATAGCGTTTCTAGATGAGATCGTGTGAAAGTAAAATTTGGTCATCACCTGGAAGTCGACTTTATAGTGGACTGAAATTGAAGTTCATGAATAAGTGATCACAGAGTTATTTTAGGTCATCTTTGGGCTAAAAATCTGATATCCAGATCTTGGTTATGCCTGCTACTTCGTACCATTTCTGTTTATATTTGAAATTGGCATTACTAAATCCTTTTCATTTCTTCCAAGGGAACTCAGGGTGCCACTGGACCCAAGGGAAGAGTGTTCTATCAAATGTATTCCTAGGCTGTCTGTCTCAGGACTAACTAGCTTCTTGGTTCTCTCAGCACATTTATTATAATTAGTCCTTTAGATTTTTCAGTATATTTATCTGAAATGTTTATGGTGTTATTAAAGAAAGGACCTGTTTAGTTTTTTACTTATCTACTGTCAGCGCTGCACTGTTTTTTATTTTTTTAATGAATTTATTGGAGTGACATTGGTTAATAAAATTATGTGGGTTTTAGCAGTACAATTCTATAATATATCTGTAGTACACTGTTGGTGGGAATGCAGCTTGGTGCAACCACTATGGAAGAAAGTGGAGGTTCTTTTAAAAATTAAAAATGGAACTGCCTCATGACCCAGCAATTCCACTTTTGGGAGTATATCCGAAGAAACCCAAAATGCTAATTTGAAAGAATATGTGCACCGTTATGCTTATTGCAGCATTATTTACAGTAGCCAAGATAGGGAAACAACCCAAGGGCCATCAACAGACAAGTGGGTAAATAAGATGTACACATATACAGTGGAATACTAGTTGGCAGTGAAAAAGAATTAAGTCTTTTGCAATAGCATGCTTTCTCTGGCCACTTAGCTTTACATCTGAAGCTGGTACAGAAAAACAATGTTAAGTGTTTGAAAAATAAAGATATAAAAAACCTGTAGAATTTAGGCATGCAATTGATAAGCGTTGCCAATTTAAAAATGTTATTGAAGGGCTATCAAGTTTTTTTAAATTAGGGTGAATGTCATGAATCCCATTGTTAATTTCACTCTAAAACAATTATTTTAGTGAGTGTATTCTGTTTTAAATTCATACTTATTTAGAACTAGGTACCTTGTTAGTTGTAGAGGCACAAATGAGTTGTCACTCGTGACTTTTATTGGAAATACTGATACCACTTCGTAAGCATTTTGGGGGCACCTACAAGCTGTTCAACCCCATGAAACTTGATTTCTTGAAACATTCTATTTGAAAGTGAAAATTATAGAACATTGTAGTAATGTTTTGAGCATTGAGAAGGAAGATTAGGGTTGATGCATTTAGAAATGTGTTTTAGAATGAATGGATTGGTGACTACGGATGTGCATGGCAGAGGATCTTGCAGTTTATAATGGTAAACTAGGAAAACTACAGAACTAGTAGATTGGTATTCTGATAAAAGTTTTCTAGAAGATAAGCTAGACCTAAGAATATTTTTGAAAGCTCAGCACAGTGTTAATACTGTGGTTAAAAACTAACCTGCTACCCTGGCTGATGTCGCTCAGTGGACTGAGTGCTGGCCTGCAAACCGAAGGGTCATCGGTTCGATTCCCAGTCAGGGCACAGGCCTGGGTTGCGGGCCAGGTCCTCAGTAGGGGGCGCGTGAGAGGCAACCACTCATGGATATTTCTCTCTCTCTTTCCCTCCCTTCCCCTCTCTAAAAATAAATAAAATATTTTTAAAAAATAACTTGTAATTGGAAGTCCACTTAGGAGCCATTCAAATTTCATGTGATGTATTTTTAAGATTTTAAAATTGGAAATGAATTTGTATGCTAATAGTTAAGGCTGTGCACGTTGATTAACAGCTAGAATTCTTGTCTGGGAAGGTAAGGAGTTTTGAAGGTAATTTTTTTTTTATGTGTATTGGTGTTGAGGAGGAAGGAAAAATTACTTCTGAAATACTTAATTGTAGGCCTATAATTTACATCCGTAGGCAGTAAAGGTGGTGTCTGTCAAGGCTTAATAGGAATCTGACAACAGGTAGGATGAAAATTATTTAATACTTACATATGCTTATTGTGTGTTAGACACTTGTTTTTTTTACAAATACTAATTTAATCTTTGTAGTTTCTTACTATTTTGAGTTCCCCAACATTTATTAGACTTGATGGTCTTTTTATGGGAACTGGGTTCAAATGGTTGCTGTCAAAAATATAAATAACTGTGATTAGTTTTTCCCTACCTCATATGACAGATATTTAATGAAACGAAATATGAAAAGACTATATGTCTATTTGAAGTTAGCAAGATGGAGCCTCACCTCTTACTCTTTTAACGTTAATGGTTTTAAAAATGGTAGGATTTTGCTGCTTTTTGAAAAGTCAGATTGGAAAACAAAAATACATTTTTCTCAAATGATTTCTGTAGCGCTTACTGCCATGTTACTACATTTTATACAGCTCACTTCTCTCTAAAACTCATGGTAATATATAATATTTTTGCATCCTTGGAATACTCTAGGTTTTTAAGTGCTGAATAACTGAAAGAATAAATGTAGAAGTGATTCAGAGCCTGGAACAGTGTTGTGAATGTACCGTGAGGTGAGATTCCTGCGCTAGGTGCAACATATATAAAAATTAGAAATTCAGATGCATGAATTAAATATAAATAAAATTTTTGGAACTCATTTTTCAGTGGAGAGAGGAGAGCAAGTTTATAGTTCCAATATTCACATCTGGAGTTAGGCTGTAACAGTCCGAGGGAAGTACGTTAATTTCATGCTCGGAAAGGCTTAACTATTAGGAAGACGATTGATTTACAAGGAGCTGTATAGTACTTCTTGGCTGGAGGTTAGGAAACTGCAGATGACAGACGTTTGGATGGGTTTTTAAAACAATGTTCTGTTTTATTTCGGTTTGGTGAAGGGGGAAGGAGACACTCTACAGCGCCAAATAGACTTTCTCCTGAAGCCGCGTGTCAGCCAGGGGGCGGTAGGGGACGGGAAAGCCTGACTCCAGCCCTCGCGTTCCCCTCACGTGACGCGTCCGTTTCCCCGCCCCATCCGCCCTGCTTCCGGCCCGGGCATCACCCGGAAGTGAGGGGAGGAAGAAAAGGAGGGGCAAAGGCTGCAGGCGGGCGGCGGAGGGTGGAGGAAGAGGGGCAGCAGAGGGAGGAGTTGCCGCCGCCGCTGTCGCCCACAACACCAGTGCCGCGGCCACAGCCACGGGCGCTGCTATGATTTCTCCCGGTGTGTGAGGTTGGAGCCTCCGCGTGTGGATTTCTCGCTGTCACGAGCTGCGAGCTCCGGAGGTTTAACCGTAGGACAAAAGCCAGGTTAGTCCTATATCGGCTTCCCGTCCTCCCGTTCTCTTAGAGGGGTATACTGTGCTGTCAGTCTGTACTACTGAGTGGGGCAAGAAGGTCATTTTAATCTGGGGCAGTCTCCAAACTCTCAGTTCTTTACGACTCAGGTATTTACCATACTCATGTTTTACTGCCCCTTACGCGGGAATACAGATGGGAAATTAGGTTCTGACCTGTGTTAATTTCTGTACCCTCCCGGGGTAGTTTCCTGATTATCCATGGCCTATCTTATTACCTGATTAATTGAAGGTACAAAAAGGTCTCTGTCCGGTATTGAAAATTCCATAGACTGTCCATCATTATTAATGAAATAATATAAAAAAAATTTTGCGGCGTGTCTCGCTCTGGGAGGATAAGCTAAACTGAGAGAACGCTCGTGTTTCCTTCCATTCCGTTTTGTTCATTCTGTCCCCTTCCAGTAAAGTTACTCGCCATCCTTGTTGCACCCTGTGGCATCCTTATCTTTGTCACGTTTTCTTGTAGGAGGTGAGGTACTCTTAATCAACAACTCTTACTGTTTCACAAGTTAGTATTTTTCAGCACCTCGTCTTTGTTTTAATTACAGCCTCTTCATCCGCAGTAATATGGCTTTGTATTGAAAGTGTGTGCACAACATTTAATTAGGTGATACTGACGTCTGAGGGGTGGTAGGGGACATACACAAAAAATACGACAGAGTTTCTGGCCTCAAAAGAGTTCGCACTCAAGTAGTTGAATTTAGTTGTGAAGACAATGGGTTAGAGCAGTTCCACTAATTGAATAATTAGGCTCGCTCTCCCACCCTTTTTAAAGGATATTTTGAACTGAGATTTTATATTTTATCTTTCAAACTTTCTTATATCTACAGTCGACAGGAGAGGTTTTTGTTTTTGATTTTTTTAAATACTGGAAGGTCTCACAATGTAGTAGGGAAGACTGATACACCCTTTTAATCTCAACATATATTAGAGCAGAAAGTGTTAGCAGAGTAGAGGGAAAGGAGCATTTGAGCTAGGCCTTGAAAAATGGAAAGCCTTTACCTTTGTAAGGGATGGCAGGGCAGGTAGAAAAAATAGTGTGAGCCAAGCCTTGGAGGGGCTAAAAACATGCAGGACATCCAAGAACACAACTGTGCATCAACACCCCTATTTCTAACAGAGCCACATCTTGCAAGATTTCACTGGTTAAGAGAAAAAAATACAGAATACAAAACTGGTAACCTTACAACCGTATCCAACCACCCTGCAGCCAACTAAAGAGCTTATACACATCCAGTCAAGACGGTGGAGTAGAATGTTAACTGTAATTGAAAAATAAAAACAAATAGAAATCACCCGTAATTCCTTCACTTCGCAATATATCCACTGTTTTTTAAGGGTTTTTTTTTTTTTGTTCTTCTGTATTGGTGAGATTTTCAAATCTTTATAACATTAAACATTTAATCCATAGAAAAGCTTATATAGAGTAAAAATACATGAAATGACAAAGACTGTTAATGTATGGTATTTATTTCTAATGTAAACTCTAAAAGAGGAAGAAGTGACGCTAGCTATACTTCAATTCTGATTGAGTGTTGTGTGTAAATATAATTTGGAATCATTTTTCTGTTTTTTATTTAATCTTTATTGCATTTTTCCCATTACCATTTAGTCCCCTTAGACCCCTCTCCTCCATAGACTCATTTTTTACATTGTTAGGAATGAATAACAACATTGTCTAAAGTCAGAAGCTGTTCCAGGTTTTCACCAAAGAATTTCTGCATTTCCTTTTGTCTTCTAAACTGATTTCTCTACTAGTTTTTAATGTGATAGAAACTATTCTTTTCCAATCGTAGTCTTTTCCCCCCATTTTTATTGTATTTTTCCCATTACCATATATCCCCCTTATACCCTCTTCCACTCTTCTCTCCCTCCAGTCATAGATTTGTGGCTTCTAGGTAGTAATCCCTAGGAACAGTAACCCCTCTAGAGGATAGGTTAAAATCTCTGGTCTGTAATGCATGTACTTCTTTTAAAAGTACATGCAGAAGCAGTAAAATTTCTTTGAAAATGACAGCAAAGAGCAAGAGAAAACCCCAACTTAACACGCTACAACTTTTACTTCTCTGGGGGCTCTGAGGCAATACATTCCTTTTTAAAAATCCTCGATATAAATATATATTTGACAAATTGAGTCACTACTTTTGACATCTCAAATCACTGAAAATAATCTGCATTTGTCAGTTGGTGAATTTTGAGAAGAGGTTTGCCTGAGATGCTACAGGTACTAACAGAGGTGAAGAATAATATTTGGGAGTTTTGTCTCAAGATTTTCTCTACTCATCTTTGTTAAAGGGCAGTAGAGCATCGAAAGGTTTCACAGACTTTTGTTTTACACAGTGATCTTTCCTAGGACATGAATCAAGATGGGGGCAGGGAGCAGGGAGGCAGGCAACAGTCAGGCCTATTCATTTCAATTTACCATCCCAGCAGTCACGTTTTTCACTTATAAATTTGTCTTCAGGTTGATTTAATGTGCTGTAACTTACTTGCTGAGATAGTGTGGCAGGAAATATGTCACAATACCTTTGGAATGTGTTTCATTAAAGTGAAAACGTAGATTGTTTCTGGTTTCATAAATCTGTTCCTAGTTTCTCCAGCACTGTTAGAAAATTTAAGTGATTTCCTTATCCTGTGGGCTGAAATGTGTGGGGTATTGATAGGTTACATCCATTTTCACAGGTACTTCTTTCCCTGAAGGAAATGACAATAAAATATCCCCATTTTGAACCAATTAGGTGCACTTTGTCCCAAGTTTTCTGCCCACATTTAGAATTATACAGCTATGGCTCGGGGATTTAATTTTTTCATCTGTTTTTTACTTTATAATTCCTCAAGTATAGAATTTCAGTTTTCCAAACCTATAATCAGAAGTGCATTTTAATAATTAACTGATTGAAATAAATGGGTTATTTCACATTTTAGGGAAATTGTTTTAGTTGGGCCATTTACCTTAGTTGATTTTGTTTGTAAAAGTTAAAGTGTTTTGTTTTATGCAGAATCAACCAATGAATGCATAACTAAGTGGAAGAACGAATTGATGTTTTTCTCTCTCTCAAATCAATTAAAAAAAGAGTTGATTTTTCAGCTAACAAAAGCCTAACAGAGAGCTTAGCTGATAAAGAGTTACAAATGTAATCTCCTTTGTTGATCCTTGCACTTAACAATAGTAGGGGAAAAAAGAAGACATTTAATTGTTTTTGGTGATGCTAAAATTATTTGCTCTAAGGATCCTACTTGAATTATTATATTAATTTAATAATATAAAGTATATATTGACTATTAATATATTAATTATATTAAAACATCAATATTATTAATTCATTTGTATGCAACTAGTTTCATTTTGGTCAATAAATGCTCTCTTATTTTACTATACCATTTTATTGTTAGTTCTAAATATCATTTTTTAGTTCCGATTTACAGTCACAATATCTTACTATTAATTTCTAATCACAACTGTAAGTTCATTTTCATGTATCAGCAATCAGATCGGTGTCATATGTCTTCAAGTATCATCCATCTAAAGCAGTCTTTTCTTGCTTTTTCTACCTAGGTGATAAAAGGATAAACCTTTGTAGTCTTCACATAGTTTTAAAGCCTTAAATTCATGTATGATGATGGATAAAGGAATAATTTGTTTAGTACAGTGTATTATTTGACCTTGAGTGCCAAGTTATGATTATGATTGTTTACTGTGTTATTACAAAGTAACCCACAAATTCTTGTTTCTTAACTTTAGGGCAAATGGTGAATCATGGGACCCTGAATTTTTTACTGGTTTTGTTGTTGTTGTTGCATATAAATGAAGACCAGAGCCATTCCCCTGTCTGTTGTGAAAAAATAAATCTGGTACTTTGTCTGTTTTCTCTACCTTGGTAAGAGTTGACATATGCTTTCATAGGGCAAAATTTTATTCCTAGACCTAGCAAATGGCTAAACTGAGACTAGCTACTCAGTCTGGCGTAACAACCTATGCTCTTATCTAACAACAAAAAAAATGAACTGCATTTTTTCTTTTAAATTTTTTTATTGTTCAACTACAGTTGTCCCCATTCTCCCCATTACTCTCCCCTGCCCTCCCCCCTCCCACATTCAATCCCCCCTTCTCCTTGTCCATGTGTCCTCTGTACTCGTTCCTTGACCTGTCCCTTCCCCTCCCTTCCCCAGGTGTCCCCCTTCCCCCTCCCCTCTGGTTACAGTCAGTTTGTTCTTTGCATTTTTTAAAGAACATAGACATTTGAGCAAAATTCAGGCTAATGTGTAGAGTGCCTTGTTTGTCCTAAAGAGAGAAATGCCCAGTTGCCTTCTTTGAAATGTGAATGAACAAATTTATTTGATGATTAAAAGTTAAAATATTGGTAGCTCAATATTCCCTTGGGAGTTTCAAACTAAATTCAAGAGTAAGAACTCATAGTTTTGTTTTCTAATGTTTAAAATGGTGTTAGTCTTATTTTATTTGTATTCTCAGAGTGTCTCAGGAAGAGAATAGAAATGGTTTATGTTTCTTGGTTTCTTTTAAATTTTTATTTATTTACTTTTAGAGACAGGGGAAGGGATGGAGAAGCGAGGGAGAGAGACAGCGATGTGCGAGAGTTACATCGATTGGTTGCCTCTTGCACCAGTGCCCCCTACTGGGGACCTGGCCTGCAACCCAGGCATGTGCGTGACTGGGAATCGAACCGACGGCCATTTGGTTTACAGGTGGGCACTCAAGCCATTGAGCTACCCCAGCCAGAGCTATAGTTGTTTTATTATCTTTACAGTGAGCACATCTTTGAACTTCATTTGGACTTTGATGTTTATAATAATATGTGTATTTAAACTGTACTAAGAGATCATGCAATAAAAGGTGATAAGCGTAAATTGGAACATGTGCTGGTTACATTTTCTGGACTACTGGATATTATTCTCTTGATAACTTGAAGGCATCTTAATTTCCCAGGCCGCGAT